CGATATACTACTGAGATAATTTTTCATCGGTTTTACTTTCCATTAGCATTTGGTTACTCAAATATAAAACTTAATTGATTTTTCCTTATATACAACTTGTCGATTTTTTTTTATATCAATAAATAATGCCTAAAGCTGTTTACTTCGATTCAAGCTTGTTGATTTTATCAAGCTCTCTTATAATACTCAAGATTAGCTGAATTCATCCTCATCGAAATTGTCCTCCACTCGCTAAAGGATTTAAATAATCCATATTACAAATATATACATCGTCTTTAATTAAAACCGATACCAGGTATTGTTAGTGAGTCTTTCTTATTCAATAAATTCAATTTCAAAAGATTAAAGGATAGATGATAGATTTATTAACAATGCAAATCATTCGGTCATTCTGCTCTCTTCTAAATCAGTTTTGCACTCTGAACTTTTGTCTTAAATAATCAGAAAAAAAAAATTTGCTGGGATAATAAATAAGACGTGATAGGTCGGCTGACCCGGAACAAATGCGGATTGTTGTCAATTGAACGCTTTATAAAGATTGATCCTTGAAGATAATCCGCTAGTTTGTAATTGTTCGTTGTTGTGCGTAAAGAGATTAACTCCTATAAATAGAATTCAGCTTTAAACTTTACTATTTTACAGCACTTGTACCTTCGTATCAGAAAGACTTCCTCATGGATCATTTAACTCTAAAATGGTACTCGAATGAGGAAGGAAGCTGAAAGGTCTTAGGGAGATGTGAAAAGAAAAAGCACAGTTAAATTGTACAGATGCTGTCAATAAGTTCCATTAGCCTTCTGTCTCCTGGGAATATGGCAAACTGAAATAAAATCGTTCTCTGCTTTTTCATGTTTTCTGCTATTTGTACACGTGTTTTCACGACAGTTATATGCCGTTGGGAGAAGGAAGATCACACCTCTGTTTTCTACAATACACAGCCGAAAGTGCATTGGTTATGTAACGGGTATAGAGAAAAGAAAACACGTTTAAGTTTACAAACGTCTAAAAATAGTCAATATTGAAATACAGGTATTTCATTTGTAATTTAATCTCTTTTGAAGGTTTTTTTTAATAATACTACTGTTTTTTTAAACGAAATTTTTGGTAAATAGATGAGAAATGAATTTTGATATATTCAAAAATGATATATATTTCTATCTATCTATCATTCATTCGCTTGTTTTCGAAATGCTAAGAGTATTAAATATTTAATTTCTCAGATAGTCGCTAGATGTCAGTATCTTGCTAACAAATCCGCTTCCATCTAGCGGTTATGAAATCAGGTATGATAAAGAAAGAACAGAAGGATTATTTAATGCTATTACTCTATTTTTTTTTATCAACAAAGATTAGAAGTCTTGTATTCTCTTTAATATATAATTCCAAAAATCTGTATATGTCGATATATTGATATGGTATTAAGGTCAGCGGTTATACAAAAGAGAATGCAAGCTAAGTCATGTTTATAACAATTTGGAACACAACGAAAAGATCAAAAAGAAAGAGAAAAAGTATTAAATGTGATAAGGCTAGACAAAATAAAGGCTTGAAAGAAAAATTAGGACTCATAAAACGCGGGGAAGATCTTAAAGATCCATTTTCGAAAAAGATATATATCAGAGATTTTTTTTTTCTCTTCTAAAATATTAGCTGCTTTGAACGCGAAAAAATATAATAAGAATGCTGTATAGAGTATAGAGTTTAGGTAAAAGTCTCTCCCTAGGAAGATGGAAATTAAGCTACTTATTGTAGAAATATTCCCAATCTAAAAATATCTGAGGAAATCTTCATCTAGTTATAATGTAAGGTAAAGGATACAACATGTGAGATTTTTTGAAATTAGATATAACAAATCTATTTTGACTTGAAAGTGAATGAAGATTTTTTTAGCAAATTACATATTTTTCAATCATTTTAATTTTAAACTGTACTAAAAACATTTTAATTTGTAATACTAGTCTTATATTTCATTTAAATAACTTTATTTAAATAGTTAGCTCATTTCTGTTGATCGGTATAGAAACTAATACAATGCAAAAACACAAATAATATGTTGAAGTTGTCATTACATAAACAAGATTACTATTAAAATAATGTTAATCTAAGAGTGGAGAGAATGGAGAGTCGAGAACATTAGAAGCATTTAAAGATGTAAGTGTCAATTGCTCCTAAGTATATTACTCTCTCAAATTTTTACTTATATATTTAAAGTCTCGTGTCTTGCATAATGTCGTGTAATTAAAAACTTCACACTATTAAATTATATGGAATATCGTCTATTGTTAATATAATTAGCGAAAAATGTATGTCTTGGACCTTCTAATGTTAATGTATTTATGCCAGGCGTGGATTGTAACAACAAGTTGCCTTGAAAATCCATTGGAAACTCAGTGAGAGAAGTTTGCTTAAGAGGAACGTCTGTTTCTTCAAGAAAATACTCCTTGCTTATGTGTCTTCTACACATGGAAAGCTCCCTTAAAACACATTTTTCGTTTTTCCTTCGTAGTTTCAAATTTCTCAACATAAAATCATTCATTAGGGTTTTGCTTGTTGTGTCTTTCATATCAGAATTATTGCGTCTGCCTAAGACGAAAGATTGAACGAAAGAAAGCATCCCCTTTAGAGTTGTATGATGAGAATAGTAAATCAATGGATTTATAACCATTGATGTCTTGGCAATAAAACCGCCTAACGTGGATAATGTAGGCGTAATATACTTATACTTTGAAAGAATAGTGCAGATAGCCACAAAAGAATATGGCATCCAAGTGATTATGAAAGTTACAATAATAATAAAAGTGGTCTTTGTTATTCTTAGTTCAATTCTTTTGCGTCGATTGTTTTTATGAAATCTGTACATTTTCGAGGAGGATCTTTCATGTATACAAACCTTTAATGAGATTCTCACATATGCAAAAGCTATTGTGGCTACTGGCAAGACAAATCCTAGGATTATCATTAGTCCAATTATTAACTTATTAGGAAAACTGAAGTTAAAGAAATCCAAACCACAAGAAGTACCATAGCCCTCGAGAACATAACCCTTTGTTAAAAGTGGTATAGTGGACCACACTATGGAATAAATCCAACAACCTCCTAAAGATAGAAGTGCTGATCGAGTAGTAATAGTAGAATCGGCAAATGAGGAAGTTATAACATGATGACGTTCAATAGCAATAATCGTTAGAATTGCAATGGCAGAAAAGCCCGACAAAGCTCCAGTGAAACCATAAATCAGACAACCTGGTAATTAGTTTTGGTCAGCCCACCTGTGTAACTTTAGAAAAACAATATTATTGGTAATTACAGACCTGAAATACCAAATTTCCAACATCCTTGGAAGCTACTAAGGGTGAAAAGAATCCCGCCAGGAAACGCCATTAAAAGATTGCTAACACATAAGCTGAAGTAGAAATAAGTTGTTTTTCTTTTACGCTCTTTATCTCTATTGAGTAAATAATTGAAGAAACTTGAAAACATATTAAATTATTTCATAAAAGTTTCCTAAATGTTTGATTCTTTTTACTTACCGAATTATACTGAATATAATACTTCCATTTATCAATATTCCTATAAGCATAATAAATAACATTAAAATGCCGAATGAAGCATGTTGGTAAGGTGTTGGGGGATTAAATTTTAGCCAAAAATTGTTAATATTCATATTTCCACATAGAGTCCAGTTTCCAAGCTCAACCATTTTTTAATAGTCCGAGTGTCTGATAAAACATTCATAGGTGGCAGTCTGCTCAATGATTGGTGAACACGAGGACTATTCCTTTAAAAAGCATGATACAAATTCTGAAATTACGTTGAAATATACGTTTTGTTCTTTGTAATAGAAAGTCTCTCTTACTATTGTATTGAGGTAATATATTGATATGAAATCCTTGATGGGATATAAGGAATATTTCACTAAATTCTATGAAATCAGGTAAACCTACATATTAGAAAACAAGCATATCAAACTTTTGTATAAAAGGATTGATTTTCAGGAAGTTGATAAAAATGAAACAGAATATATGCAAGTATTTACCTTAATCCACTACAAAACAGTTGATAAGCGTCTAAGTACAAACAAGATAAAGAGATGAGCTTTCGTCAGACCCATTGCAAAGCCACAATCTACAACTGGAAATGAAAAGGAAACTTTGAAGCAGTATACACTATTAAATATTTAAGTTGTATTTAATTTTGTGGTAGTTATCTTATAAACGCAATATCACGCAAGAACTATTAAGTTGCATTCTAAAGATTCTAATTATTATCCCTAAATTTATTAAGTCTAATCTTTATTCAATTTGATATAAATATACTAAGGAATTATTACTTTCTTTATTTAAACTATAACATTACTAAGGATATTCTCTATTCCTTTTTTAATGATAGTTGTTATAAATCACTCGTTTTTTTAACTAATTTTGATATATTATGCAATAATATTAGTTTATTTTTCTTACCTCTGTCTTAATTGGAAATACATTAAATTCCAGCATCTGACAGTGTTGCTCTTTTGATACCAACTCTTTCTGTCCAAAAAGTGAATTATTAATTATTAGTAAATTACTCGAAACTTCAGTCTATACTCTTCTACTTTCTTGGGGAATGTGGCTCCATCTACCTCACAAACTCCGAATATACTAAGAACAAAGAGAGTCATTTAGTGCTAGTTGAAACGCTGAAAAGTATGTAGAGTTAATGCAAATCTGAAATAATGTTGCTCTTTAATAATAAATTAATGATTCATGTAAAGTTTCTATCATTAATCGAAAATATAAAATGAAGTAAATTTTTCTTTTTACACCTAATAGGACTTATTCAAAGAGAAGATTTAGACTTCTAAGAATGAATAAATTCCTAGAATTATAATTGTTAGATTTTAAAATAATGGCTATCTATTAATTCATATAATTTTTTATCATAATACTATCTTGAATCATTATATCAAATCTAATTTAAGAAATCTTGATATGGTTCGTAGGAGGCAAATGTGTTTTATGGAAAATTTTATAAAAGTAATTTTGCATTTGCATCTTCTCTTCAATATATTTAACTAAAAGGGAAAGAGCAGAACAGTCTAAAAAGGGAAGAAATTCAAGTATTTCAACTTTTCTTCCGGCTAACAGAAGTTATCTATTTTCTTGTTTACAACTCATGAAAATAGTCTGTAAACTAGTCTTTCTGATTAAGTTTCTTGTCTGATATAAAAAAAAGCAAGTGCTGCTACACCTAACTGATAAGTAAAAAAATTAGCCTGTTTGAAAAAGAAATTCTGAAAAAGAGAGTTTATTATTGATGATAATGGCATTTTTCATAAAAAAAAGAAAAAAGACAAATTTCAAGCACTAAATACTTCTCTTCAAGCACAAAGGCGAACTAAATCGCAAATTATGGAACAAAAACAAGTGTACCATTTTTTGAGAATGATTACTGTACATATATTTAGGCGTATATTATATATATTTTGTATATATATATATGTATATATATATATACATACTTTTAATATAATAACTATATTTTTGTAGATATAAACAATTGTATAACGTACTGTAGAAATAGAATACATTAAAAAAAGATTACAAATCATTTTTTCTGTAATTTTGCAGACAAGAGTTGTTGATTAACGACAGCTAGTAATAAATCAACGATACATTGGTATGACGTTTGAGGAAGGTGGTAATTCTTTCCTAGAGCTTGTTCTAAAGTTAGTTTGTAAGGTTGCATTTTTTGATGCCAACTTTTGGACGGATCGTCCTCTGTAATCTTCATAAGTGTGTCTCTCGTTGACCATAGCGTATTTAATACGGAAGAGACTGGCATAGTTGTGACATCCTGAACATCATTGTCTGTGTGCTGTCGTTGATTTAACGAAGTCACCAAACCAGGCACTTGCGGGGCACAAGCCACATTCCAAACTTGAATTCCAGATGCGACTGCTTCTTCAAATGTAGAAAACCCTCCCAATTCTGGAGTGTATGAGAGTCTTTTCTTAAATAACTCGCATTCCGCGTGATTTGAACACATAACCAGGTCGATCTTTTCAAATACATCTAACATTGAGTTGGGTATTAATCGACGAAACTTTTCCAAGGTTACAACACAAACAGGCCTGAGTGATTCATCCACATTTTCGAGTTCTTCCTCCGTATAATTCAAATAATACCTATGACGGTGTCTTTTCAACCAAATGTCCATTTGGCCCGCAACAGGTGTATTTGGAGAAAGAGCTTGAAAAAGAATTTCACTGGATTGTGGAATTTGTTCAGTTGCATCTTTAATTAATTTTGCATTTCCATTTAATGCTTGCTCTAGCATCGCAGCTCCAATAGACTTTGGCTGTGAGGTTGTCAAATTAACGGGCTCATCTTGTTCTTCTAGAGGTAAAGACGCTAAATTATCATGTGGAATATTCGTTTTCAAAAGAGGCGATAGTTCTTTGCCATTTAATTTGTCACCTTCGGTGTAGCTATGTCTCTTTAAGGAGTTCCTTGGAGGTGAAGAAATTGGAAAACTATTACGTCGACTAGATGTTTCCTCTCCATTTGTCAGAAGATGGCGTTGCTTTAATGAATTTTTTAAAGCTGTTTTAATTTGAGAATGTTCAATGCCTTTAGTCGAATTAGTAGAATTTGTAACACCAGCATTAGTATTTAAGTTATTATTATTACTATTATTGTTGTTATTATTAGCATTTTCATTGTTCAAGTCCATCTGCACTTTAACAATATTGTGCATACGATATTTGCCGGAATATTCTTTCCATAACCGTCCTGCTTCTGCTTTCACTTCACAAAAAGAATGAAAGCCTCCAGCTGTGGGCGGTCTTGATAATTTTGAACGAAACGCCTCTGCCCAAGCGCCTTTTGATTCCATAGCGAATTGTAAATTAGAATCGTACTTCATTGCATTTCTATGACAATATTCCTTATATAATTGTTTTGTGACAGGCATTTTCGGCCTAACCAAACGATCAACGGATACTAATTGATCTTCCGTCCAATCAAGAAAATAATTATTCTTATGCCGTTCAACAATTATTTTTACCTTTTCCAACAGAGATAACGATGTGTCAGCTAATGATGGAAATAAGTAAGATAGACCGCGATCACACTTTCTGTACTCTGTTGATTGCTTTTGAACGCCGTTGTTTCTTGATGGTATGGGAGGCTTATACTGCGATTGAACAGGTGATAGAGGAGGTAGAGATAATGGTATATTGGGGTTAGGAGCAGGTATGTAAGGTGATGAATCATTGCTTGAGGAAGGTGTTTCTTCGTCAATTACTAGTTCGGAGCTACTCTCATCTTCTTCTGAATTTTTTCTAATTTTCTTGGCTGAAGGAGGTGATGGATTTCCTCTATCAATTCCGTTTCGGCCAAACTTTTTCCATAATTCCACGGCTGCCATTTTAATCTGGCCTCCTGGCCCCGTAGAATAGTTCGAAGATGCTCCCAAAACCTTATCCTTCTATGCTACTTGGTCGGCTTGCAGTTTAGAAGTGAGGGGAGTACTCGCTCCTGTCAAGGGCGATGTAATCACTGCATAAGGTCGTCTCGTTCGCTTTTCACGGAATTTAAGGCCGTGATCATAGGCCTAGAGGCGCATCTAAGCACTACCGAATCGGAGACCTAATTTACTGTGATGGGTTTTAGGCTAAATCCACAACTGACATCGTCCAGTCGTTTAGAAAGCGTTACGGACAGATTCGATTAGGAAAACTAACTGACCACCTACTTTGATAGACCATAAGTGAATGAATATTAACTAATGCTACTGCGTAACCACAAACAGGTCCCCCTTCGCAGATTTATTTACGATATAGAGCGGTTCGTACTAGGCCTAAGCGAGCTTTATCGAGCGCTTGACCTAGTTCTCGTCGAGCAAAAAAGAGAACGAAAAGGAGAAAGAAAGAAAATAAGGGAGATTACACGCTTTTAAATGGTAATAAGAGATAAAAGAAAGATATTTAGAAAAAGAGAAAAGATGAGAGTGAAAAAAGTGGAAATATATAAAAATATATATGAAAGAAAGTCACTATCACATAGATAGTAAAGTGTAAGATATAAGATCCATGCTGTATATCAAGATGCAGAGAAATAAAGCACGAGCGAGACACAGATATACATATATATATATATATATATATTTATATAAACAGTGTTTATACAATATATATATATATATATATATATATTTCGAGAGAGAGAGAGAGAGAGAGAAGGGCGATATAAAAGGAAAAACAGAAAAATAAGAGATACGACTAAGGAACGATAGAGAGACTTGAGGAATAATGAAGCATTTCATGAAAAGGCAAAATCAACAACGCCTTTTTGCCCTTACCTTGTTAGGTACTCGCTAAAGAGGTCGGTAACCGGTTTGATTAGCGAGAGCGACGTACGAACGTCCTTCAACTCCTCTTCTGTTAAACAGCGGAAATAATCGTGTTCGTGCTTTTCCACCCACGTTTGCTTGAGCTGCTAATGTCGATTTTTCTGAGAAATATTGAAATCGATGAGTCAATTTAATCGAATAAAGTTTTCTATAGAGAAAAGTTAGTGGCGAATAGAAGTATATATCATAAATACTTTACCCTTTATACACCAATTTTTGGACCTATCTTCTACCTCTCGATTTCTATTTATCTAACTGTTTGTTCCTACAGAAAACTCTCTACCTACACTTTTTGCTATATCTAGTTCTTCTAGTGCAATAAACCTTGAAAAATGGAGAGAAAACTCACCGTTTATTTCAATAGTTAAAAATTCTTTGATCCCCTCACGCCTAATTCGATAACCAGCTTCCACCGACTTGTCATTGTTATATTTGTTCCTAAAACAGCTGTTGCTGCTAACGTAATATACATTAAGCCTGGTTACGAGCTGTGACAGTGTTCACGTGATCCATAACTGCAGAGGCGATTTCATGACACTAGGTGACCCGGGGGGGGGTTCTTATTACTTTTATAATCCTATAAATTGGAAAACATAATGCATTGCCTATCTTAAAAGAAATCACCTGTACATTTAAATTTGTCTGAGTAGAGAAGAAGTCGGTTTAAATTTAAATGAATAATAAATAATATCTGAAGAGATGTTAAAAACTGGTAAGACAATAATTGTATGACTTTTAAGTAATTTAAAATTTATCATAAGAAAATAAACCAAACTTAAAATAGAATTTAACACAGATTTTCCATTAATATTTTTTTTTGTTGCAATTTTAGGCCTACATGTCATATCATTATTAATACGGCACTTTTTGATCGATAGTATAGTTTATTCACGATTTTTACCTGCATATACATCTCTATAAATATATGAATTAAACAGGGTTCCTTTAGAAATTTTTTCTTTTGAAAATCTACTAAAAGTAAATCAACATTTCCCTAACCACATACTTTCACAGAAATATCTTGTTTTAGCATAAAAAACACATATTTTACTTTCGAATATTTAAAAATAGCTTTAACAATAGCTAAGCAACTAAATATAAATAGAATAAATATACTAACTATATATGGTACTATAAATATATTGTACGGCATATACAGTATATCTAATTTTCAACAGAATTTATATATTTACACATAAGAGTATGTATAAATATATATTAATACAAATATTAAGAATAGATCTATGATATACATTTCGATATATACGTATAAGCATATATATTTCACTTATGAGCTTGTAAGTATTTTATTAAGATATTTATATATTTGTAGGCTTTATACACATATACATATACATGTACATATATATAACTTTATTCAGTAAATTACAAAGCCGGTCTAAATCTAGGTCGTCTTGTTTTACTTTTTTCAGCTAAAGTCGATCTTTTTTTTGAATAGGCCAATAAAAGATCTTGCATTGTACATTATAATAAATCTTCCATATTTTATACTTCCAAAGTCCTTTTTTACTTAAATAAACAAATTTTTACCTATAACACGGTTAAAGAATTGTATAATCAAGATGCATTGCAAAAAAGTAAAACTTTTTGTCTGGTTGATTCAATATCTAAAATGAACAATATATATATATATATATATATATATATATATATATATATATATATAATATATCAAGGTAGTAAGCAAGAATTGAATTGCATAGACTTTTTTTTGTTATTTTCATTATTCTATATTGTAAAGTAAACGTAGACAGAAATACAATAATAGTAGAATGAACGTTATGACAGCCAGCGAAAAATATACATATAAATGTTTATATATAAAAAAGGTGTAGATTCTATATAATAATCTATATATCCTTTTTTTTTTTAAATTCGATGATCTGGTCTGTTAAAACATGTGTACTTATTTTATGTCTTATATAAGTAAGGGACCTATAAGTAGACTGTAAATGACAATAAAGAACAAAATAAGAGGAAATTCTGACCGATATATTTAAACCAGTTTATAAAAAAATTTTTCTAGCTTACATAGATATTGGATCTAGTAGAGAATGAGACAGAGAGAGAGAGAGAGAGAGAATGAATGAATGAACGAAATAGAAAGAACATATATTTAAGACAATCGCTTAAACGCTCTAAGCCTATTGAAATAGCTGATGGTACTTAAATTGAACAGATTTTAAATTCTTTCTCTTTTTTTGCCTTATTCAGCTTATTTTGAATTAGTAATGGGATCACTGCTAATAAAAATATTCTAAGAGCAGAAAAAGAATGGATTTCACACATGTGCAAGTAAAAAGTACATATGTTTATACTGTTTGTATATAAATATACATATAAATATATAAATACATATATATATATATATATATATACATACATTCATTAACAGTTAATATATTGCATATCAATACTCGGAATTATTTTTATTTGATATTATTCAATGAGATAGCAATTCTTTCGTGCTTTATTTGAGGGATATCAATATTTTATATATTAAGCATGTATAAACATAGTCTAAGTTTGTCCATTCTATTTCTTACATTTCCTATTAAGGAAAGAAGAAATCAAAGAAAAAAATTTTATATTTATTATTATCTTTTTTAACGTGTTTTGTAAATAACAAAAATTGGTTAGGCCTTTTCCATGAATCTGTCTGCTTTAGAGTGTCCTAATCCTAAAAATTTTGTTATAGCCTATTCCCCTTTACATATAATAAAGCGAAATTCATCATTTATTATAAACATTACCAGATATAAAAGAGTAAACTCTGTTCAAGTATGTTTCGAGTTGCTAAGGGACGTGGTAGGCCATATTTCTAATGCTTTCTATCAAATAACACATTCAACTCAAGTATACCTGAAAATTATCGCACTATATATAAAAAAAGAGAATTTTACGTACTCTTTTTTTTGATGGCTTCTATATAAAAAGAATGCAAAAACTAGCCTTTAAAGATTAGATACAAACGACATCTTATTTCTTCTCTAAATACTACTTAATTATTTTATCTTCCAAAAAGATTTTTTATATGTTTACTGCTTTTTGTATTTCTACATAGATGTTTTCTACTCTCTCTCTCTCTCTCTCTCTTTCAATTCTTTCGAACTTTTGCAACTCTTTTTCTTTTCTTTACCTGTGTCTTTCCTTTTCATTCTGTTCCTGTACATTTCTCTCGTTCTCTCTCAAAGTCTCTCTTCTCTTTTCCCTTAAGCAAAGATGAAGAAGATATAAGGAACATAAAAAATAGATCTTTCGCCTTATTATTTATTTGTTTACTATTAAATAAGCGTATTTTTTGTATTAACTTTAAGTAGAGACAAAAAATTACAAGCAGCTTACGTAGATTTCTAAACCTTCTTTAAAACTAAATTGTTAAAAGAATCTAATGGATGAAAGGGCTGAAAGTAACTTCAAGGTCTTTTCACTATCAGTCTTAAAGTAAATGTCAATAATTTATAAATTTCTTTTGGTCATTAAAACAGAATCGAAACCTTTTTCAAGCTTTAGAATTTTATTATGAGAACACGTAAATATAGAATTGATCTCCTAATGGTGGATTACTTTATATATTTATATAAAAACAAAATTTCCCTCCCTTTTCTAAATCACTTAACTACACTTGATATATATATATATATATATATATATATATATATATATATACAGAGAGAGAGAGAGAGAGAGAGAGAAATAAAGTATATATGCACATTCTATCTTCTCAGTATTTATTCCAAACTAGGCAACCCACTCTTGTCTCTTGTCTCTTTCTATTTTTTCTTATCGATTTATTTTCATAATGTGGAGTTTTATTTATAAGTTACAACTATATTCTCAGTAATAACTAATATTAAAAATCTCGTCCAGCAGTTAGATTGATGATAATTGATATAGAACATATGGGGACAAGCTGGAACACTTTGACATTAATGAATATACTGTCTAATCATTGTAGAATTAAATTCTTTCAAAAAAACTGACTTTGTTGTTTTTAGATATAATATCCGACCTATATGTTATCGGCTTTTCACCAGCTATTTATAAACAGTGATCGGTTCATTCTATAGGCCAACAATTCCAACGACCTTGGGCCTAGGTAAGATGGCGCTACCATCAGTCAGTTTTTTTCAACGTCTCGTAATGGTGCCTGTCCATATTTCCCGTGAAATACGATCAATAGAAAAATATGGACAGTAACATAGAAGGTCGATAGGCCTAGATTATGACATATAAATTATTTAACAAGTCTTGAATAATTACGTTTATGTTATAAATCAACGGTAATCGGAAGACGTTAAGATACGTTAGGACCGGGTAACAGTTCATTTGTCGTAGTCCTATAGTATATCGCCCAGCGTTTTAGTTGGCTGATAATTTTTTATTCTCCTCAAAAATTTTATAATCTTCTTAGCTTCAACTTATATTTGTTCCTTAATCAATAATGGACTGGATGTTTTATCAAATTTATAATAAACAAAGGAACTAACCTCATGTTTTGCGTAGGCGGTAATAACGTTTCCCTAGAAGGAAGATAAAATAGCCACCAGATGGAGGATAAATGAATTATAAAAGGAATACTAAAGACTAGTTTTTGTAAAGATTTAGACAACGTATATATATATATATGCAAATGTATATATCAATAACATTCGGTTAATCGAATGTAACATGCCAATATGATATATTTCCGAAAACTTATTAAAAAATAAGCGGAAAATCTTTTACTGAAAATAGCAAAAACAGCATCAAGACTCAAGCAATAATTAGGAAACTTAAAGGATTTAAAATCCGGAAATCGTTAAGATATAAAGAAAATAACTGTGAAATTATCCCCCTATTATTCTTCTCTAAATAGTAATAACATACATAAATAACTTCATAATCTTCATTAATCTTTACCTTGGATTTGCTTTGAAGCCTGTTAAATGACAAAATCGAACGATTCTTAAGAAAAAGCAGATTAATAGAAGAAGGAAAATATTCAATTATATTATTCTTATGAATAATGAACAACATTGTTAAGATTTCTCTTTTATATGAAAATTTTCCTGTTTTTTTTTCGTTTTCGTTTAAATTAAACTTTTTCTGAAAGGAGAGAAACTTATAGAGAAAATTGCTAAATAAACAATTTTCTTTCTTTTCTCCTATTCCTAAACCTTTTTATTGGGATAACCCGAAACCGTTTCAGTTTGTAAATTACATACAACACTCTCTGTAAACCTTTCAGGTGTGATTTGAGGTTTGATAGATTGTTATAAAATTATAAAAACAATATTAACTCAACTATACATTATCAATATTTTTATATGCATTTCATATTCAATGTTACAAAGGGAAAATTTTCTATTATAAATTTTTTGTTTAGCAATCTTTTAGCTCCATCTATCGGACTACGCGCAACTGAAGAACATGTTTACAGTAAATGAGTAGGAAATATTTTAATTAAAGAATATTTATACACGATGAAATAAATGACATCATAAGTATTTTTAAATAAAAGAGGAAATTTATTGTATTACTCCTTTTCAATCAAAATTTCTATTTTGTATTATAATGATTTTAAAGAAGAAGATTAGGGAGAATACAATACGGAAAGAAGAAGACTTTGAAGGATTGTTACGAAGCATCCGCGAAACTCAAGTGAAAGATGAAAATCTCTTTGAGGCTAGTAAACATATTATAGCAATAAAAATAAAAATTGAGCTTTGATCGATTTTCTCTTTCATAGTATCAACGCGATTTACGTTTGTTAAAGGAGAGGAGAAGAGGTGTAAATGTAGCTACTGAAATTCAAACGATGAGCTTATCAAAGGGAGAAAAGCGTACAGAGGCAAACGGAAAGTACAAGAGGTGTCCAATTGCTGAAAATGAGACGAATAATTGTTACTATAGGCCTATGCGGGTAGATGAATTACCAACAATGTCCGAGGGAAACGGAAATTCGAACGTCTTACTAACAGAGATCGCTAGAGCTTTTACTTTTGGAAACTTCAAACGTTCTTTACCACAGAACACCCTTAATTGGTCGCAGTTGGATTTGTACGACTCCTACATAGAATATTACGCTGAATTACGAAGGAAGACCATAAAAGGAGATTGTAATATAAAAGTTCAGGAAGAAGCCGATGATAATCAGCGTGCTATTTCAGAAACTACATTAATAGAAAGAGACGACTATTCGACCGATTATATGAAAAAATTCCCTTCTCCTTCCCCAGCGGAGACTGGTGGACATCCTCTGACAAACCCTAGAGAATCGGAAAAGGAAGTCGTTCAGGTTCTGGATAAAGAATCAACAAGGGCGACTGAACAACTGTTCGTTAGTGACTTCCAGTCGAGACGTTTCCGAATTGACGTCCATCGGGAGGAAGGAATACAGATGGCGCTTTCTAAAGCGCAAAAAGCTACCATTGGATGTTCAATAGCAATGAAGACAATAGAAAATTCTAGGTCCAAAGAATCCCAAAAAGAGAAGACAAAAACGAGCTTAATGTCGGCAAAAGGAGAGTCCTCACGAAGACATAAAAGAGTGGGCCGAATTGGGGTCAAAAGCAATTCGCTACCAAGAAAATTAGCTAATAAAAAATACCGTTCAAGCCATACGAAAAATAATTATAATGTCATGGAAGAAAGAGCCAGAAAACCCATATTCGATACTAAATTATAAAAATTAATAGCAAATAACTTGTTAGACTTTGAAAACGGTCCTCCACATCAAACGTCAAAGAATGTTCGTTAGCGTTTCTTGCAATGCCGAACGGAAGTAGGCCCCAAAGGTGTTCCGTTTCCGCTGACGTTTCGTTCGAATAACAAGCGTCCGCTACTGCAATCTCGCTGCAGCCATGCGTAAAATATGTTCGAATACACAAATTACATTCGCGTTTAATTGGCGACGGCGCGTGTATCGCAGCGTCTCCTCCTCTCTTGACGCCTCAATTGTTTTAAATGAACTTGAACTCCTAAATCAAAGGTGACAAAAGGAGGGACCTTAAATCTCCATGGGGCGGGATCAGACACACACACATAATTTGGTTCTGATCACGTGACAGACACGTGCCGTTATCCAATGATCCTTAATTGCTTTCTGCTTCATTGAATTCATGCAAGTTTTTTCATGTTGTTCCTTGCGCTTCATCAATTTTCAAGAGGAACGGTCTCAGTGAATTTTATTTGTTGCCACGATTTTCGAACGCTTCATTAATTTTCGGGAGTTTCATTGGAATAGAATCGGTAGACGAGTTGCGGGAGAGGAAGGCAAAGTAATATACCGCCTCGGTTATAATACCGGCGATTAGCATAATAAGTGTAATTATAAATGGCAGGTTAAATGGGCATATAAAGTTACGACGCGAGCGAAGAGAAGCATTCGTGCAAGTGGCTATTGTCCTAATCTGCCATTCAACAACGACGTTGGCGTCACGTGCCCAGATAATTAGCTATTTTCCATATTTCTACAGTCTGTTTGCAGTCGTTCAGTTAACGTCCGTTTCGAAGGGATAGTCTACTAAGTCGAAAAGCGAGTTGTTTCCATGGAAACAGGCCAAATCAATCGTTTTCGAAAAATTAGACTTGTCGATACCGTTTCTTCATATAAATTCGTTATTTTCTTCTTATTCCAACAACGCGTATCATCATAGTCAGAGTGAAAACATACATTGTAGTTCGAGTAGTGTAACGCATATGAAATACAATTATATAAACAAACGCAAACACGCACAGACATATGTATGCGAATAAATTCAGTATACATTGCAATGTTTGCTATCCTTTTCATATTCTAACCAATTAAATTGATAAAACAAGACGTCTAAGTTTACCAAGCCCAGAGGAAGAGAAGGAGAGGCGGGGCAGGTAGAAATTAATTGATAATAGCTAATTTTCCGTGACCGTTGGTCATGGAGCTAAGACACTATGAATGAACAAGACCCGAGGCAAATGTGTACGTCGAGGAGCGTGAGAAGAAAAGAATTCAATACGTCGTCTACAATGACATATCTCAAAGAATTCTTCGTTTTTAGTAGCCGGAAAAGCATCTCCTTTAATAACGCGGCGAGCATTGTAGGTAACGGAAGGTCTCTTATGGGAGTAGCAGCCTAATGTTTCCTGAACACCTTTGCCAAATTATAAAGAATCCGTCTGTGATGTTGGAAAGAATCAGGGCACATCATTTTCGAAACGGACGCTATCTCCCTACGCAAAAACGTTTTGCGTGTTTAACCGACACCCTATACGCAAACAGTTTGCACAAACATTCAAGCAAAAAAAGCGCTAATTCTTGCAGACATCTAGCCTCAGGGCAGACCGTATAGAGATGTCTATCGCTCGTATTACATCACAGATGAAATAGAAGGCGACTATTTGTTAAGTTTCACATGAAAGAGCCGCCGAAACTCACTACTGATTCCATCTTACGTTTGCATAGCTCATGTTTTTTCTCACCTGCCTCCCACCTGTACGCTTAATTAGACGCCATTCGAACAGGCAGGGAAAAGCGTGCGCTACTTTCTGAAAAGAGCGGAGATTAGGACTGACCAAAATTTCCTTCAACATAATCTCTTATAGTGCGCGGCCTGATTGCGTCCACTTCCTGTCACGGCGTCACGAAATGGACGTTTTAACTTGTTTTTACAGACGTACCTCCATCAGAATGGAAGAGTTATTTTATAGCAAAAAATTGAAATACAATACCAAAAACTGTGCCCTTAAGTCTACTGCCACACGCGTCCGCCACGCGACAATCGACGTCCCCAAAAATTATGAATATTGATACTCCGCTATGACATTCATGGGAAAGTAAAGGAAAAAACTTCGAGACACTTTTTATCCCTCACAGAACACCCTTTCTTATGAAGGAACACCGCTAAGGTAACGTTTCATTAATCATTTCATACGTGTTCGGGTCGAGTAATTTACTGTGCTCAATTCATTTAAGTAGGACAATAGAAATATTTTTATTACGATGATTAATCATCCCCCCGAGCAGGGCAATAGATGGTTTCGATGACACCCTAATATACAATCGTTTGACAAACGGACAAACAATAAAAAATCACGAGCATTCTTCCATCCGCAATGTAATAACGAGTGTTTGTTCAGTTTGTCATTTTCCCGGTGTCATTCAGTCATGACACTTGCTCAACTATAGAAATGCTGTTTGTTTTACCGAAATCGAACGTTTGCCATGTATGACCCTGCAGATTAAATTCGATTTAAGACGTTTGCACTTTCGACTTAGTGTTGGCATTGTTTGTCAAATTTAGTATTGCTTTTCGTATTATTTGCTTGAATGTTAAATTTTTTTTAACTTGTTTCGCACGAAATATAGTCATAGATCATTGGAAAAATATGTCAACCGTCACAAAAGGTAAATTGATATCTATGAATAAAAGTTTATTTTATAAAAAATGACTGCAGATAGTTTGATAATCGAATAATCGAGATGCAAGAGCTATTTTACAAATTTTATAAATTAGTTAGATTAACGCTTTCTTCGAATGGTAAAGAAGCGTCAAAAATTGCTCAATTTGTAGGAGAACTTATATAATATTTCGTATAAAATATTATACCCCCTACAGAGAGTATTTGAACGGCTCAACTAATTAGAATTCGCCATCTCAGCATGCCACTCTATTTATTCGAAAATGGATTCAGTCGAGCTTAACGGTTGACACGGTGCATAAAATCAATAGCGATGATCAGATTTGAGTGATAATAGAGCATGCAAACCGAGTAAACTCGTCTAAAAAACAGACGCTTCACGTCCGTCCAATCAACGTCCGGCTGAGCCAGAAGCGGACGCTGATTGGCCGCTGCTTCCTTCCCTTTTCCTGCTATAAAGCACGTTATTTCTTCATAATTCCGCACTTTTTCCGAAGTGGAAGTGGAATTTTTGTTGCGTTTATTTACGTTTATATTAACTAAATGACGCATATTTCCCAATCGTTCTTCTCCGTCCTCCTGAACCAAGAAACTTAATTTCTTGTTACATAACAATGGCGAAACATTCAGATTATTACAGAGCTGCTTGCACATTTACGGCCGGTCTTTCTGGAATGATGTTTCCAGGTGAGCTTTATTACTTCTATAATTTGTGCAATTTGTAAGAAAATTATGTAATTAAGCGTACTTTTATGTCGAATGTTGCATGAACAAAGCAAAAGGTGAGTCTGTTCCGTGAAAAAAGTAGAGCATAAGTGACGCTGACAATATAAATTCCTCAAAGACAGTTGGCGTGTCATGACAGCAAAATAAAAGCCCTGGGTTGAAAAAGCTTTCTGTCGTGATTAGATTTCTCCGATTGTGTTACGTCAACGTTAATACGGACATGGACAAATTTTTTCGGATGCGATTACGGCATATTTCCAGTCGGTATTCATTCTGCCTGAAGTGACTTTGTAATTGGCATTAATTTTATTAGCTGCAAAGGGCACGAAAAGGATTTTTTATTAAGTGCCAAATAAAAAAAAACGCTGAATAAGTCTCTATCTATATTTATTAAAGACCTCTAGGAAATTATCGCCTTTTTTTGCCCGTTCTATGCAAAGCTTTCGAAAAAGTTAATTGTCGGATGTGTATCTGCTAAAATATTCATTATGTACATATATACGTGATTGTAGATCTATTGGTGTATAAAAAAATTAGCAGAAGCAATGATTACACTGACAACTTCTGATGTTGAGGAATACTTATATTGCTGATACAGTAAAGATATAAGGAAAACAGCAAATTTTCTTAGTTAATTTTAGACATATAGTGTGGATAAATTCCTTTAAGATGCTCTGTTTACCTTTCTATCGAGTTTATATCATCTTTAGATGCAGAACATAAATTGAAGGGCGTCTATTATTTAAATTTTATCCTCTATTATTATTCTATTATACTTTTTTGTAAAGAAGAATTTTTCAAATTGTTTTACAGATCCATCACCTTACGCCAAATCAGCTTGGCCATCACAACATAGCCCGCAAACTCAAGGTAAGATTGTTTTTACATATTTACGTATGATGCTCTCTTTATTTATATGAAAAATAAAAGAAGAGAGAAGAGCGTGAAATATACATTACGACCAAACTATATAGTCAACAATAAAATTAGCCTCATAAAATCATTGCAGCGCGCTAAAAAACTAGGTCAACACTGCATCGATCATGCACTCGGAAGTGACTCGCACTGCAAAAAGGCACTAAGCAGTATCTGAAACATGCAAATGCTTTACTGCAATACTATAATTTATCTTTAATAACCATTTATTACTTGTTGATTAGCCGGATAAAGGTCTTCAGACCCGCTTCCACTTCAATAAACTTTAATAGGCTGATTTTTTTCAAACGCAGGTTTCCATTTGAAAGCTGATACGGTAAAACACCTTCCTTGGGCTGAACCTGCTCCGGTACCCCCTAGCTCGACGCCTAACGCTAGTAATTCAGGCGGGGCCGTAAAAACTCCAATGAGCCCTTCAATAGCCGCAACTGCTTGGCAAATTGCTAGACAACCAGATTCTCGGAACGGATTATTACAGGCGGCGAGTTCTAGACCGGAAACAGCGGCAGGTAAATTAAATTTTTTTACCTCCTATGAAATAGGCATGATAGCAAACGTACAATTATGACAGATTTGGCAAAAATAGGTCATTAGACGACAAACAGCATAGAAATATACAATTTCCATTCACAAACGCATAAAACTATATTAAAGGCGTCACGACATAGCGGGCAAGCAACCTGCTGCGGTGTCTAATGCTAGTCAGGCTTCGACGCCTGGTGACGCCGTCAGGTAACGCCTGCAATCACTTCCTTCCTCACGCACTAAAAGGTTCTAAAAACGAAGCGTTTCCGAAACGTTCTAACGATCATTTATACCCATCGACGGAGTATTTTTATAGACGTAGAGTGCTGTTGGCGTCCCAATTAAAGAGAGAAGACTAATTAGCCGTCATTCACACTGTTGTAGTGGTAATTAAAAAAGAGGGAAAAGCGATATCCTCACAAGTATAAATATTAGTAATTTAGTAAAAGTTTGCAGGAGAGAGTAACATTTACCTTAATACATAGAGCATATTATCATAAATATCCCTTTCTGTATTTAGATAAACGTATAATTACTTTTAGAAATGCAAAAGAATTGCATATTTACGTATATATATATATATATATATATACAGATATACAGTAGTACATACTGTATATAGTTTATATTTTATAATATATATAGCTTACATATATAGCTCTTTGTACATGTTGTATATATATAAATCTACGACAAAGATAATAATGTCGGGAGAGCAGGAGAAAGCAGCTAATTGCAGTTGGTTTCGTGATACAGACGGCAAAAGAATTCCGTAAGCGAACGCATTGAATAGCTCGTAATAACTCTCCATAAACACCACTTTTACTTTATTCCACTTTCTTTGTGTTCTCTCTATTCTTATTCTCTATGCCTAGAATTCTAAATATAAATATATATATATATATATATATATATTGTATATATCTGTAACCCCTTAAACAGAAAAGTGTATACGCCCTTAAGAATGTATTCTATATTATATTAAAGTTATATTACAATCATTAAATATATGCTATAGTCTACATTTGTAACTAATTGTGTACACATCACGCGCATATACACGTATATGTAAATATATATTTACGAGTATGTATATAGTATACTTATATAATGTTCATGTCTCAGTGATCCTATGATAGCATATTATATGGTTAGTCTTCGTATCAAGTATACATTTAATGATTTCTTTAATGACAGACGTAATTAGCCTTTTGGTATCATGGCGTACATATCATTTCTAGTATAATTTCTTGTATATAAAGTACATAGTATATATCTAGTACAATCGCCTTTTGTAATTTTTGCGATCGGCGTCACTTACGCGCAATGCAACATCCGGGTGTTTTCCGCCATATTTCCTGATATTTCCGTTCGTTCCGTCGATTCTAATCTAGGCCTATGGGGCGCCTATTGTTTCCCGCAGCATGTTCTTCTATAAAAAATATAAATACATTTCCCCTTCCTATTTTTTTCAGGTTATTCGCACACGTCCCTATCTTGCATACCGAAAACGGAAGGAGCACACAACCAATGGAGACCTCAGGGTGAGTTCTAAGCAAAATAATACGAACGCATATATATTTACGCGCGCGTCTATATATAATAGAGAACAAAGAGTTTAAGAGCAGGAAACTCCAATATGCTTATTGCAGTTTTCTTAGGAGGCTTCACCGACTTTTATATTTTTCGCAGTCGACTGAACTCTGCGCGATTATTGTATGCGATTGCTGTACACTTTTTCCTACCAGAATTTGTCACAAAGCGTTCGAATTTTGCGGTAGCACGTTCTTTAAACTAAAGTATTACGTAGAAAGATCCGTATACGTATATGAACTATTATAAATCGTTTACCGACACGAATTTTCACTTAGGTGCTGTTACGTAATCATTAGGGGCGGCGCGCGCCCCCTTAGACATTAAACGAACTAATCAGCTCAGGTGCGCCGGTGCGCGTTGCGGTCGAACAATCTCGGCGGCGTATAAACACAGCTATCGATCGCCGTTGAATGACTCTCTATAAACGGCACTGCCCGAAAGATAACAATGACGGCAATCGACTGTATTCAGCTGTCACCAACTGCCATCAGATAGAGTGTTTAAGGCGAAGTTTTACTAAGCTTTTTTCTTTTTTTCTTTCACATATATTTAGCCGGCCGCCCCGGTTGTTTACCGAAGCCGTCTCGCCCCATTTTCGTTGCAGTATGTTCGAAATTGCTCTGCAAATACGCTACATCGACGTTTCGCTTCCTTTTTTTTATTCAACTCTCTCTCTCTTTTTCTCTTCTCTTTTACTTTGCTTTCTTGTTTAACCCCGTTTTCCAACTTATATTTACGCTATACTTGAAAAAGAGTCGAGCAATTGATTCCGTCCAGTCTTTGTCTTCTGCAACTTTTGCAGTTGCCTTGCTGAGAGTTAACTGCTGGACACCGAAGTAATTGAAAGTGGGGCCGTCGTAGTGACTAATGCAACGTAATGACTGCGACGGCTCGGCTAAATGCCCGTGATGACACTATTATTGGCCACCTTTCTTTATGCCGCATCGATTTACAGCGTATTATTGCAGGATATTGTGTTCCTGATCGCACTTTGCGCACTGTTTATAAAGAACGGTCGCTTATAAATCGAAAAGTTGTGAATATAATCGCCGGCGCCCAAGAGGCCTGACTTCGTATAAGCGCTCCCTCTCGGAAGAGCGGAAGGAAGTTGTTTTGGTGTATTTTGGCCTCTTTTCCCTCTCGCTAGCTGAGCGATTGCCTTTTCTCATTTAATGCTCGTTCGGTGTTTCCTAAACGCTTATCCATGCATATAGTCCTACAGTACACTTCAAATTGCAAGTAATATATTTTATTTTCTTTTATAATTAGGTTCTGGTCAGATTCAATTGTGGCAATTTCTACTCGAACTGCTGTCTGATAGTACAAATTCCAATTGTATACAATGGGAAGGTACTAATGGAGAATTTAAATTGGTTGACCCAGATGAAGTTGCTAGGAGGTGGGGTGAGAGAAAATCAAAACCAAATATGAATTACGATAAATTATCAAGAGCATTACGCTATTACTACGATAAAAATATCATGACGAAAGTTCATGGAAAAAGGTACGCCTACAAATTTGATTTCGCCGGCCTTGCCCAGGCGATGCAACCATCTTCGACCGATCCAACATCATATAAGTATCAACAAGATCTTCTAATGTCAACGTATCACCACCATACGTCAAAGTTTAATTTCATGAACGCTCCGATTTCGTCCTCCAACGGTTTTTTTGCATCTAGTCCGTCTTACTGGGGTTCTGGTGCTAATCTCTATTCGAATCTACCTAATGCCATGCCTCATCACGCTCCTCATGTCACGTCTCATCTTTCCTCTCCATTTTATTCCTATGAACACGTACATCAATGAGGGTACATAATTGAATAATTAATTAATTAACAAGGCACACGTTTTTATAGTATATTTACATGTATATTAATTCTCGTATAGTTCAGAGATATTACATGCCAATTGTGCCAAGAATTCTTGTAAAAAATTTATCTAGTCATATTTACAAGAGACACATAATTAACAAATATATCCAGAAACATGTAGATATATATGTACAGTTGCTTGTATGAAATATTTATATATATTTATATAAATGAATAAATAAATATATATATATATATATATATATATATATATATATATGCGTATATGTATTTATAGTATATACTGTATATTAATATAGATATTTATATAGATATATAGGGTATACATACATGCATATATATACTATATACATACAATTTACACAGCGTAAATGTACAAAATATTTAATTATAGTGAAAATGAAATGTTGTTGACTGTGAAGGAAAGACTACAGCACTAGTTGCATGGTATAAATATTAAGTCCTTGAAAATATCGTTGTGTACATAAATTGAATAAAAAAACATTAAATTGACTCAATCTATCAATAATCGTTTGGGAACCGATGATGAATACTGACGGGTACAGTAATGCTATTTTTGCAGTTGTCAGTGTCAACTGCAAGTTTGCATGCAAGTCGCAGCGTGTAGATTGAGAGCTGTCTCTGATTTATTCGTAAAAGCATTAACGAATATTTTTATATAAATCTACTGAAACGTATCAATCTTTGATTATTGATGGCAAACAAGACAAAAGAAATGAAGCGTCGAGAATATTTCTTGTCAGCTTTATTTCGACGACCGGTGAAAAGCGTCGAATTCGAATAAACATTCGGTTAAGCTCTACAAACATAAGCTAGTACGAGTTTGCCACTGTTACCGAGCTGTCCTATCACGTTTTCTTGTTGACAAACCGACTTGCTTATTCGGACGTTTTGTTTACTTCTTATTTAGCGCCTCTCTTTTTTTGCTTTTCTTCTCCATATATAGAATTTATGCTAATCGCATTCCGCCTTATCATTCGTTTAGACGCCGCTTCGCCACCTAATATCGATGGTACCCGACTTTAGCGCACGTCCCAAAGGACGCAACAGATTGAACTTGTCAATTGTTGTTCTTTTACAGAGTAACTGTATCTGGGGTATAAAACGTCTTACATAGAGACGATTGAGGCGTCTTCTCTCGTATGTCCGTAACTGTGACAACGAAAACGTTTTATTTTACTTTTAAATAAACATTTATGTAATCAAATACTTAACTTTTCGAAACTTCTGTTAATTTTGTACAATTTTAAAAAATGCGCATGCGCACTTAATGTATAAATTAATTGAAGACGATTATATATTAAAAAAATTTTGTTAGCATAAAAATAAATACACTTAGTTAGAAGATAATTTACAGTCCTTTGTGCATATATGCACTGCAATATATAGCTGGGGGCGGTGAAACATCATCTCTGTTGAATGACAACAATAGCATCTCAGCAAGAATCCAAGAAAATTAAGCACAGCGTTTTGAATAGCGCTCGTTCCTCTCGCTTCTCTTCAAATAAGGCTATACGAATTCGATCAGATAAAAGAACTCTTGAAAAAGAAAACTCGACTCCATCTTTTGAAAGAGCGAAAGAAAAAACACTGAATCGGGACAATCACGGTAAACATAACTGAAAATTATCAGTACCTCCCGCGGTAAAATTGGCGCCCTTCACCTGCCCGGAAAAAAAATCGACGATGCACGACCGAACTTTGGGATGCGCATGCGCGCTGATCGATCAAGTCTGACATGCCTTATGGACACGGCCGACTGGAGGCGGGTGACAATTCGAAATAGAATAATGACCGCTCCGTGTGTGTTTAGAATAATTTTTTTAGCGCCGAGTGATTGATTGAAAAAGGTTGTTGTTTTTGCTTCTCTTCATATTCTAATGAGATTTTGCGGGTGGAATATATGACATGAAAATTAACTCGTTTCACTCCCCCAAATCCGATTATTTTATAATCCGGAATTGTATAAAAATAATATAAGGTGAATAAAAAGAGAAGGGAACAGTTGATTAGCATGGCATCAATCAAAAGTCACTAATGACGGTCGTAAAAAATCCAGGTAAGACGCCTATAATGCGTCATCGGTGTTGCGTTTAAGCGTTGTACTTATTGAGCACCTGGCCGTGAATCTTACGACTCAATTGCCCAATTATTGCGCGCCGCGTATTAATTACAGTCGAGCCATAAAAGAAGTCGGCTTTGTACTATAAGGATATTAATTGACACCTTTGCCTTCGGCCATCTAACTTTACTCGAAAAGTTCTAGATTTTCTTTCAAAGTTACTCTATTCGGGCATAGCTGATGGCGAATGGTATATTTCTTTTATTCAATACTTCCTTTTAACTTTTTTCCCTTTTCCTTTTTCTCTCTTCTCCTTTTAAATTCTTTCATTTCATATCTCTTTCTTTCATTCTCATTTTTCGTTACTTTTTCTTACTTTTACCACTAATGGTTTAATTATATCGATTCGAGGAATTTCCAAATCCGACGGTGCGTTGCATAAAAGCACCTCTTCTACCTGTCAACGAGCAGGTGCGTTATATACTCGTTTTTGTCAAGTTTTTTACTTATCGTTCTGCTAAAGTCACTTGGAGTGGTAGCGAAGAGTTTAATGGAATATTTTCTAGCGCATCTGCCTGCCAAAGCGCACTTGACGAATAAAACACACAGATTGTGTATGTACACATAAATGTATTTGTCTAACATACAGTACTACTGTATTATTATAAATATATAAGGTTAGTTTTCGATCGATAATCAATGCCATCATCTCAGCATGTTGAAGGAAGGGCCGAAATCGATAAGCCATTCATTTTCGGCCGTCTATATATGTATACAGGAAATTTTAAACCACATTGCTCTAATCAAATATTATGCTAATTAAAAAGCAATCGAACGTTTCCAGGTAGGAAGTGTTTTAGTTTTTCTACTTCCTCCACTACTCGGCTCGCCTTTTCTGGTGCTAAATATTTTTTCCATTATACCCGAATCGAAAATTAACGAACGCTTTCGATTGATTTATTGATATTATATACACGCCTTTTTTCAAAATGAAACATTCGCTATAGAACGCTTCTTAATTGCGTTTGTACAAACATGTGCGCCGCATGTAGAGCCTTAAAATATTTCCTTTAATCTTCAATTTATTGTTTATTCAACTCTTAAAGATATTCCTTAATTATTGCACAGAAGATGCATCTTATTCAACTTCAAAAGACTATCGTATGCAAATTCTCTCTTTCCCTTATCGAAAAATCGTCGATTATCGTCTTCCGCCTCCGCTTATAGATTTCTTAATAAGCTTTCCTATATAAAAAAAAGAAAACTTGACGCGGGCTTTATAAAGCTGCGAGCGAATTGTTTGTTCCGGCAAAAATTCTCCAATAGGAAATTTCCCGTCCGACCAATTCAGGGCACGTTTTTCAACAAGCTTTCACTATATTCAGTCCCTTTGTTTTTTCCTGGTAACATTTGCCGAGCCTTTTTGTCGGTTTGACCCGAATGTTTGCTATTACTTTCGGCGAGAATTTAGCATTGATTTTCAGTTTTATTCTACTTCTAAACCTCTTTTTTCTTCTTTTAATTTCGAAAAGTTCCCCTTCTCTGATAAGAAATAATGTCTTAATAATATTTACGCTCGATTACATTTAATACAGCTGTAAACGCTCTATAATCAATATTATAATAAGTGTTTAGCGATTGTTATGTAACTTAGAAGCGCGTTCCTCTCTTTCCCGAGGGAATTTAATGCCTTATTAAGCACAGATCACAAGTAACGCTCGGTCCGCTTCATAAGATCACATCAACTACTGGCCACGTGACCTAATCACGTGATCAATGATAAAAGGACGATTACGCAATCGTAATGGAAGTTTTAGCTGCTAGTTGATATTGTTAAGGCTACAATTATCCCGTAAATATTCTTACGAAGCCTGTATATTTATGTAAATACCCTGTTTAATTGTTGTACGACGGGTAACAGCCTGTTATGTTTGTCAATATAGAAGCAGAAGTTGCAAATAAATCTTTCATCCTCATAGAGTGGAAGCCATAAGATGGCAATTTAGAAAAACAATAGGAAAACGGAAAAGGAAGTGGAATCGCCGATGCACAATCATGCCACTCTGATATGATTTTAATCTATCAAACGACTTACAAAATTAAGTAGGAGGGCTCCATGGGCCACTAGATGGAGCTTAAAGTTTCTCTTTGTCTTAATTATACAAAGTTCCAAAGAACTCTAGAAATAAGATGCCAAGAGCTGCAGTAGCAGTTTCTTTCTAGTTATTATTTGTTACACTTGTATGAGACCAAAAGGAAACACGCGAAGTCGCGATAAAAATCGTGCAAACAAAAGGAAATCGACCGACAAGGGGAAATACGAGTTTAAAAACAGGAAAAGTCGGTGGAAGAGGAAGTTCAAGCACTTCTCTTTACACCATTTTCCGCTATGCGGCGAAAGTTCCGTCGAAAGGAACTTCCTGTTGTAGCTTAGCGGCAGTTAGGTCCGGGAAGGTTCCGGTTCCTTCCTGGGAATGATCCGGTTGTTTTTGAGAAGAGGCGTTCTTATGAGGGCTATCGAGAAAAGTAAGGCTCTAAGTTACACAAGATAATCCCCTATAACGAAAGCTAGGAGACGCCCTCAGTATTCCTGAGTTTTTTTTTACATAATGCGTTGGCGACACGCAATAAGCGAACAATGGCACAGCAGAAATAACTAAAGCTGTTCATTTCGTGAGAAAGAAACATCATCCTATATCGTTGACAAACATTCGTGAGTTGGCCATATTATGACTTGATTACAAAAAATTGCTCGTTTGACAAGTCTATCTATACTCTTCAGCATAGATTTTATGTACTCGTGGTATAATAAAATGATTGAAAACTATATCATTTTTGGAGAGTAGTGCATAAATAAATAGTTTTTTAGTGTACTTGGTAGACTTTTATAAATTACACTAATTGATCGCAGCTTTAGCACTGACTGATCGCAAATTGCACTTTTTGGCCATAATTTAGTGAAACTATATATGATAAATAAGTATAAATTGTACTTGCTATGAAAATACGCATTGCAAAAGAAATTGATTGGCAAGAGCCAACTTTTGCAGTGCGGTTATAAGCTTTGTGATTTCATAGCGAACAAAGGAAATGAAGGTGGAAGTGGACGAGAAGAGGTGATTGATTATTTCCAATCGATAATTGCCTTACGGAAGCCATTTCTACTCTCTGGCTATATATTCGGTTCACTGGTGCAGGCAAAGATCAAAGTAATTAAAGCCAAAGTACACCATTACTTTTCAGGAAATGCCGATCGATCGAATGAACTTTTAAAACGTAGTATTTTGTTTCTAGTCAAATTATATAGTATTTTTCTTATATAAAACTGTACGTAGGTAAGTGTAATTAATTACGTTTTGAATATTGAGAAGCCTATATAACTGTAAGGAAAAAAAATTTGCGGTCGATCGGGTACGAAAAAAGTTGGCAACGGTGATCACGGCGTGCATTAAGCGGACACGCGATTCGCACTTCCTGGCATGCAGGTGAAATGGTAGAAGAAAGTTAAATGAGAGGACGGTAGTTCGTTTGATGAGTAGACGACGGAAGGGAGAAAGAAAATGAGGAAGCGAACACTGATGTCACGTCATCACGCGCAAAAAACTTCAACCTGCCAACTTTCTAATCCCCGTAAATTTAGATGATAATTAACGTACTTTTTATTATCTTAAAAATAATACCATTCTGTTAAGGGAGTACTCTCATTTAAAAGCACTTTTATATCATTTCCATGTATTATAGGCTTACAGTGATGGAGTCTATCAAGAAATATATTAGTCTGAGCGTTTCACAACTTTGATTAGTTAATATTCATTACAGTTTACGCATATTTATCTATATTTCTCTAAATATTTATATTCATATAAAGAACCTTCGAGGCAGGCACGTGCCGATCGTGTGTGTTTACCTGAGTCGACCTTGACCTTGTTCAAATCATCAATCTACCTTTTGTTACCCAGGCGACGCTGACCCTCGGGCAGTTATTGAGGGTATATGATTTATGACAATCTGCTAATTTATGCATGACGGAGCTAATGGCAGTTGTGGGAACGCATTTCGTTGCATGTCCCTTTTCTTTACCTGTCCAATATATAATTTGATAATGAGAAAAATAAACGGGAAAAAAGGAAAGGAAAAACAATAATTCACCTGGGAGGAAAAAGTTTAAAAAGGAGAGAGACAGAGAGAGAGAGAAAAAAAACAAAGAATGGAAAAGATTTAAATATTAAGAAAATAAAAAGTCGACTTTTAATAAAGGTGTCAACTTATATATGCGTTACGAAAATATTAGACGCTTAATTCTAAATTTACATAAGATTCATTAGCATAAAACACTTTCACAGGTGCCAGGTGTGACATCGATGAATTAATTCGATTTTTATTTAAACTTGTCTATCGTTTGCGGTGCGTGATGTTTTACTAAAAGGAATTATTGACGTCTTACTTGGTCGGGCGCCTTCCGTATAAGTTATAAAAGTAAATTAATTACTTGCTATAAATAAATAAACGATCCTCGATATCATAAATTATCAATAAGCTTTTAATAACGATTTATTCTTCAAATCCAAATAAGATTTTGTAGTTTCTTGATAAATTAAAAAAAAAAGAAAAGCAAACCGCTAGATGGAGAGGTTAACGTATAACGGATATTAAACAGAAATGCTATACTAGCGTCATCTAATGTCGTAAAATGTATCATATATATAGAAACACATATATAAATATATATGTGTACTTTATTACTTTTTGAAAGCCCAAAAGTAGTGACAGAAAAATTCATCAATCACACACGTGCTCAACCGTTAAATATCCCACTCATCGGGTCTAAGCAAATCAGTTTAAAGCCGCTTAGAACTGTCTTTATACGAAAATTCGGTCTGTTTCGGAATGTTCTGATTTGTGTAAAGGGAAATAAAATTCGTCTCATCTTTACTTCAATTCAATAAGTTTTAGTGAAAAAGACATCTCTTATAATTATATTTGAATACTGTCACGAATTTCCTTGATTTAAAAAAGGATCCTTTATCTAACGGCCTCAGAATGTATTAATTTGACATTTTTTCCATTTATCGCTTAGAATAACCTTAACCAAAGGCAATTTGTATATCTGATGATCTGTTAGAATCATATAACAGCAACTTTTCCAGGGTTTTCATTTATGTCCCGAAAAAAGACTTACTCTTCACAACAAGGATTTCGAGAGCAGTTTAATATTTTCTTGGCTTATTAATCATTTATCAATGAGAGATAGTAGTGTAATAACTATTTTGATGGTTCAATTATTCGATCTATACAATGATGAATTTTTTTATAAGATAATCTAAAACTCATTTCTCTATAATAGATACTACTATCGGAAATATGTCAATCAAGATCGTATTCAGTGATTAATGAGACTTAGATCCTCTCACCCCCTAATTTCATGGTATTGTTACAATTAGGATGAATATTTACAGTAAACAGAACAAAGCTGCTTTGTATCATTTCTATTTTTCATACCAGAAAATTTCTCTCATTTCAACATTCATTTCTGTCTTGACAAATGCGTGACATCCATCAAATAATAGGACAAGATGAAAAAATATGTATAACCTTGAATTTCTCCTATATTTTAATCGGATTGCGCTCATGTGAAGAATATTTGAGGAAACTTTAGGACGAAGAGAAACAAACGGAAGTCAATAAAATGGTCGGTTTTTATAGTTTTTTGAATAAATCATTCACGCCAGAGCGATAACATCGTCTAAAATACGTTTCGGTTTCGTTATGGATGATTGATGCGCATCGTCAAAAATTCTCAACGTTCAATCCATTTGTTAACACTTTTCCTCTAATGGAGTAAAATTTATAAGTGGTAACCTCGAATAAAGAGAAAATGATTTTGTATCCAAAAATAGAAGTTTGTATGCTCTCAAAGATTTCTGCTCGAAGCTCATCCTCGGGAGTATTAAAAAATATGACAGACACCTCAGAACCAATTAAATACGTGAGAATTTTTTTCTTGCAAGTAGTCAAAACAAATCCAGGAATTAAGGTTGAGTCCTAGAAACAGCAAGCTGATAAGGTTCTGATTAAGTCTGTTTTGTTTCCAAAAGAAGGACCTTGAAGATTTCAACAGCGGGTATAAACCGTCCACGTCAAAATAACTATAATTCTTTTCCATGCCTTTCACTAGAATTCCGTTGTTTGTTTGTTTTTTTTTCACTATTTTAATTTCACTATTAACCAATTAGGTTGAATTTGTAGTAAAAGAACTGAAGAAATTCTCCTAATGAAATACATCTTCTTTGCGGTTTAAGAGAGCTTTTCGAGTAGCATTTGATCGAGAGGCGTTTATCTATAGTCTAATGGAATTTCAGCTTTTATGTTTTAGAAAGAAAGCTTTCATTGATATTTTGTACAAATCTACGAAAATGACTAATGTTTCAAAGATCAAGATTGGACACTTCAGAAATCAGATCACCCGAGTAGATCACACCATATCCAGATAAGCTTATACGTCAATGTCGATTAGTAAATTCCAATAATGAATAAATACGCCATCTACGGTTCATAATCGACATTAAGCTCCCGCTGTTTGTTTTTTATCATTAAATGAAATTTTGTTTTCAATTGAGTGGAGGGATCAGAAACACGAATAGAAAAAAGAGCAAGAAAAATTGATTTATACCAGTCAACTTATAGAATCGTAGTCAGTATAAAAGCAATGAGAGTTTTTTTCCCTATTGAATTTATGGAAAATAACGAATGGATCGGTTATATGCTTTATTACAACTAGCAATTATCGGGATCGTAGCGCACTAACCAATAGACTAAAAGTTTATTTTTTGTTCCATCCTTCAATTTTTTAAAGGTTTTGTATTAATCGAATCGTTTAAAAAGAATCTTAGGAGAAAAAATGAAAGAACTCTTTACTTTATTAATGAAAACTTGCATCTACTCTTTTATATGGATGCAAAATCTTTATTATAGAGTTGATATTCAATAATCGAAGGAGCTAGGGAAGATAGCGTTTTTTGCTCTAAAATGTTAAGTGATTGCCGGTGGTAATTTACACAGGGAAAATGATTGTCAAAAGATTGTTAAGGATATGAAAATTTATCTTACTTGTATATTTATATAAACTTACTAGAGGCAGTGTTGATCTATTACTATTATGCGTAATAATAAATTGAGAAAGTGTATATCAAATTCAGATATATAATATATATACTGTATATTTAGATATATAAATATATATGCTCCCTGAAACCTTTCTATAAATATATTTATAATAGAAGAAAACCGTAGAAAATGATAATATATTGATGCTGCGAGAAAGATTTATCAAAAGCATGGTGAGAAGAATAGGGATTTTTCTATTATCTAATATCGATAGTGTACAAACAAGATTCAATTGTATTTTAAATGGAAAACAAAACAAGTTAATACAGCGTTCCGGTCATGGCTGAAATGGGCAAAAGTCGAATTAACTGAAGGAGTTTGATGGATGGTAAACAATGCTGCTATTCGTGTAGCACAAACTTTAAGCTTTCGCCTTTCCTTTTCACCAATGATATTTCATTCTAAAAATCACGCACTGAATCCTTTATATGTTTCATAAACGTGTTTTTCGCTTAATTAGCACGAATGTGTTGATTGGTGGCAGATGGGTAAAATATGTTTTGATTTACACTATAGATTTTTCGTGACACTTGAAATACAAAATATATAAGTTCTCTTTTCATATTTCAGCAAGTAAAATCATTTATATGTGTGATATATATATATACAGTATATAGTATATATACTATATATTCATTGTGGCCTGCATATATACAAATTTGTTTATATTTATACAATATATATAAACTTTTCTCTATTTCACCATTATTTACATCTCTGGTGTTTATTTAAGGAGTTTTGTAATTAAATAATTAAAAAATTACCTTTTTTCTACATTCTTTGTCAAATATGGAGAAATAACCCTTTGATAAGACAAAAAAGCACGAAAGAGGAATAGATTGGTAACTCAAATACCGGACAATCCAAAAATTCCACATTCATTCGCTCTGACATTATTACAAACGATTTTTTAAATTATTCACCCTCCTCGTCTAAGGAATGTCGTTTAGCATCTATAGTTGAAAATTTTACAAGAGAGCTCCGGTAGGTTGTCATATAATAGCTACGTCCATCTGTGGATGGAGATCTCAAAGTGGGTGGTGAAGAAATACAGGGTAAAAAACGTGCAAATAGTCTTTTATATCCTTCACGTATCTCTCTCATACGAACACCATAAATAACAGGATTAATGAGGAAGTTAAACATGGGAAAAAAGTCTGTCCCAAAAAATTTTAAGTCAACTACCCATGAGGGTATAGTTGTGATATTAACATGAAAGGTAACAAAAGACATTACCATATAAGGTAACCAAAACAGGAAGAGAACTCCGGTAAGTAGGGCGGTCGTCAGGAAGGCTTTAAAATTACGTTCCGTTTCGCTACGATTATCCCTTCTATTTAAATTTCCAGTTTGACGTCTAAGCGGCTGTTGTGTAAGTTCTGGAATACGCCTTCGGTAGGCAATGACTTCTCGATATATAAGAAGATAAAGGAAGATAATTAGTAGAACAAGAGCACTAAGAGCATATGCACAAATTTCTATGCACCTTTGCGACCACGACTGTACAAACTGCACGCAACTTGGGCCGTTTTTGAATATAACAGTAATCGCAGGAGTGAGAGATATGACTATTGAAGTAATCCATAAACTCAAAATTCCTGTTAAAGCAACACGTTTTGTTAAACGTGTGGCGGCAAATAATGGATTGCAGATAGAGACACATTGCTTCGCTGCAAGGCTTAGTAGCGCAAATAGAGTTGAGAAGAGAGAAAAAATTAGAGGAAAAGCTAAGCCCAGTAACTTAAACAAACAATACTTGGTCGGATTGTCGTTAGGTATCACTCTAGGCAGTAATAAAGGTGACACTTTATAGAACCACAGGAGTAAACTACCTAACATATCAGAAGCGGCAAGATTAAACAGGAGAAGGTGATGAACTGTTCTCGGAACTCTCATATGCAGCATAGCAGCAGCTGAAAGAATGTTGAAGACGACTCCAGTAGCCATCAAAGTTGAATAAGGTATTAAACGTCTGCTGTACATTGAAAACATACCAGCTGTAGAGTTGTTAGTAGCCATCGTTGCCGTTGCTCTCTTTATTGCAGACTGCCGCCGATGAAGGTGGCGCCTGTCTCTGAAAGCGTCAATTTTCAAAAACCGCCCACAAATCTCTTCCACATACGTTTTATAAGTAATATTTTAGCTATCAATTTTTCTAATTAATAAGGAATCAAGAATACTCACAATAGGCAAATTATTAAATTAACTGAAGTTAAGAGGATGATCTAAATAACTGAACGCAAAGTCTCCACTTTCTCGTTAACAACACCAGACTTAATACGATCAGATTTGATAGACTAACAGGCACGGTATCTGTATGAAAACGTCGATAATTACCGGTAAAACGTTAACGAGTGGCCGTATGGTAGCTGAAAGGATTAACTTACACGCTACGTAAATAAGGTTTGGTTGGACTTGAGAAATATGCAGATGCATTTGCCATTTCATTTACTCAACACAATCGGACCCGGAAGTGGATTTTCAGGTAGGAAAATTTCCGCTCCTTCCGCATTTGGGTCCGCCTTTTTGCTCGCTTGTCTGACTGTTTTTATTGCCACCTTGTTGACTTTATCCGGCGTTGTTGCTAGATGAGAGTAGGTGAATGAAAAAAAAGGATGTAAAAGGGCAGCAGGAAAATCCTTTTCCGCTCTTTTCGTCGAATCAAATTCCCATTCCGTCAAAGGATCAAAAATTATTTTGACTGATCGGTCAATCGATAAAACGAACCGTGCCTTTCTTTTATCTAAGTTAAATCGAAGTAAGTAGAGGGATATACGCAACGCTCCGCAAAGCTTTAAAGTTATTTCATAGGTAATTAATGGGAATAGAACACAGCTAAATACAATCTCGTCAGTCAATTTTCCTGCCCTCTCTCCGGATTTGGCTCCGATTTCTTCTTCATTTACGCCTGGGTATTTTCTTCCATTAATCTTCTGTTTCCCAGGTAAACAGTTGACTTTTACGAGTTACACAGAGGTCTGGGTTTCTGATCAACGATTTTTCTAAATAATGCGAATATAATCATTGAAAGGTAAACGTGCTACGTTAAGTAAGAATTGGCCCGAAAAGAATGATTGTCATTATTTATAGCATTTTGACAGCAAACAATTTTGTTCTTAAGTAATTTCCGTGAATTATAGCTTTTTACGTATGTCATTTTTATATACAAAAAAAGAATAAAAAAGAGAAAACCTAGGGTTGAAAACGAAGATGCATAAAAAGACAGAACACGCATCATATCCTCGGGTTATTATCATGAGATAACCGTTTCGTATATGCTTTGAAAAGTAAGCAAATGGATTTGTAAGATATCAGATAGGCGAAACTATGACCAGCGTATGGACGCTTATTTACGGTTGGTTGTACATACATTGCCACCGAAAATCAAATAATTATCTTGCCTCTCTTTCCTCCACTTCTTCTCTTTATTTGTTCCAAAAAAGAGGAAGCCTTTTCATCCGTTAGCAATCAAAAAGCACGTTCCATTAGAAAACGAAAACGTCATGGCTTTTAATCACGCTAAAGTCGTTTGATTGGCTTAGATCGTCTAAATAGCAAAAGTAATTATACGATACGTTTAACTCGGCTGAAATAACAGAATTGCCAGCGAATATAATAAAAGGGGTCGAAAGGTCGTAATGATTGCGTCTAGCCTATGGGCTACCGGCTCGTTTGCAAACTACTTGTCGACCAGCGCAATCCAGCCTTAATTGATTACACAATAAGCAAATTTCCTTCTTTCATCGTTAGCGCTCAGTGTAAATATTGGGCGGAGTTTGCATAATTAGTTTGCGTTAAACTATTTGGAAAGTGATAACGATTGCAATTCAATACGCCTGTCAATGTTCTAAACTCATTCATTGATCAGATGCCGTTCATTTAAGTAATGAACTTCGAGCAGAATTGACTTTAGCTAAAAAAAAGTATGGCTTTTTTGCTAAGTAACGAAGGGATAAAAGACAATGACATGTTGGATGAAATTCGGTGTAATCCTCTCTTTCCTTCTTTGCAGTTAGCTTTACATACTTATATAGCAGGTGATCAGAAAGTTCATCATATTTGCTCTCAGCCATTTCCTTCAACTTCATCAGAAGAATCTTCAAGTTCAACGGACAATCAATTACCGAAGGATAATCAATTACAAAATATTCCTCATACTCTAATTTCTACTGTTAATAATAGAGAAGAAATCGAAAGGACTGTGTATAACTTGCACGTGAATTTGGAGAGGCAATTTGCCGAAATCAGAGCTTACAGGAATTCTCAAATAAGCGACCTGATGAATTATTACTACAAGCAACGCCATCTTTCCTATTACCATAAGCAAGCAGACTTATCTAAAGTCGACCCTAATGACATAGAATACAGTAGTAAAGTTGATGGGATACAAATCGACCATGATCTTCGATTAATTTCAATAACGCAAAGAATCCAGCAAGAATTTGACATGATTCGATCGAATATGTTTTATGAGCCTAACCAGAGATATGAGCCTTATAATATGGCTCACAGGCAAATGCAAAACGAAGTTAAAGCGAAAAGTTCAGGTAGAACTCGCGGTTCTTATAAGCTGGACCCAAAGGCCACAAAGATTTTAGAAGAATGGTGGGCGAAGAATTCTCATCATCCCTATATGACTCAAATGGTTAAAATAACCATGTCGCGTCTTAGCGGTCTTACTGTTAATCAAGTGAATTCGTGGATTTCGAATAAAAGGAATCGAACAATGTCTACTCGACCCAAGAGAGCAAAGATGAGCGAAGGGGTAAGCGTTTATGATAGAAAGAAGAGGGCAGAAGAGTTGGTGGAATATGCTTTTTCTAGTTAAATGGACTGTAGATGGCGTTATCGTGTCTTTCTCAAAATACAGTTTTGTAGTCATTTAAACTTGATTAGAAAACTTGAAATTGTTAATTTTTTTCTTTTCGACTGATAACATGTAGTACAAACAATTACATAGCAGAACGATTGAAACGTAAAAATGATTCAGAATTGCCTGAATTTTAGGGAATATGGTAACGATGAGAGGGCTCGTAGCTTTTTTCATGATAAATTGCTTGTTCCTCCACCCCATCAAAGAAGGAATCTCGGCTAAACATTCCCGATTCTTTCGTCGTGTCTACAGCTAATTAGGCATCTTAAGAAACGACTGCTGCATATAACCTGCGCTTAATAGACGAGCAAACAGTACAATATATTCCTTGCCATGTTTTTATACAGCAGGTTTAGTGAGGGGGCAGAAAACGAGAATTGTGATCGACGATAGGAAGGACCCGATGAGAAAGAGCCAGAATAAAAATCTATCCATAATGTGAGCAACTAGACGCCAATCATTAATAATGTCCTGCATGTCATCTTCGTCGCCACTTTTCGAGACGAGAATACGTAAATGATTGGATAAACCGTCATATGAGACGTTGCGGTCGGCTGAACCGACCTGTATGTCGGGAACGTGAGATCGAAGTCGTCCGTTGTTCTGGTCTTCTAAATTTGATAGAGCTATTTCGTCAGCTCTGTTCTGATCCGTTTGGCGGGTATAGTAGTGTTTCAAGTGCGATTTCATGCACAATAGACGACCTATACCCTCGATTACTAACTTTCTCACTAATAGAGGCACTGCCTTCTGATGTGGACCGACATGATGTAGTTGAAGGACGAACACTGTTAAAACTATCGATAACGATGTCATTGCCATTGTAACGGTTAAATAGATTCCTATTAGGGGTACAAATTCCGACGTTGCAGGCATACTCTCAGCAATTAACAGCATGAAAACTGAGAAGGCTAATAGTACTGTAATACCCAAAGTTATCTTTTCACCAGAGTCTGGAGGCAACCAGAAGCCGAGAAGCGATAGCACAGTTAACCACAAACATGGGAATATTATGTTAAACAGATAATATAAAGTTCGCCTTCTCATTACAATATAGAAAGTTACATCCGGATATGGTTCATCGCAGCATCCATAATGAACTTCATTACGTATCATTTTTATATATAATAATTGCCATTCTCCAGAAAACACGTAGTTATCCAAATCGATTACTTCAGAGCGATTGGTTATATCCACCTGATGTCCATCATAAGTCCAGCTACCAAACTTCATATGGCATTTCTGATCGTCGAACGGGAAGTAAGTGATGTCGATCTTACAGCTGAAAAAAGTTTTTACACCTGCTTTAAATCGGATTCTAAAAAATCGACTAATTAATAATGGGCGTTTCGTAGATGGTGTGCATATTAGTGGGTATTTATATATGTATGCTTGTGTAGTCTACTAAAATTGTCTTATTTATCTTAATACAGTATATACTGTATTTATATCTATGTATGTTTTTCAGTTCATGCCTTTACATCGCTGTGAAAACAAACTAGTAGTCCGAACTCGCTCCAATATTGATCGATGAAAATTGATTATGTTTCGCAAGTGTCTAGTCATTGATCTTTGTCCTATAAATCTATCAATATCTACGAGGAATGCTGCCAAAATTCTAATGGAGTTGGAAAGAGATAAGAAAGGGTGTGGGAAGAAATTTACGACAACACGGCTCACTTTTACCCTCTTTCCCCTTCGCCCTTTGCTCCTCTTCTTTCCCCATAAACTTATTTGCTTTACGCATATAATGAGAGAAAGAACGTCATAAACTGTTAAAGAGATTTTTTTAACTAGTATGAAAATATCTATTTTCCCTTTCAGTATTGTAAATATTAGGTTAGAAAAGCAGACAATACCCTGTCAAACATTTGTCTCACTATCAACTTGTAATACAAGACGATATGACCATTCTAGGGGATTAACAATCAATTACTAATTGAAACAAACCTAGAACGCAATTTCGCTGGAGGCGGCCAAAAAACGTTGCCTTTAGACGTAACCATAGCCTTAGTTTGCATAAAGCCCTCGGTAAAGTCATCGGCACTATTATATAAAACAATATCCGGAAGCCAGATTCTTTGACAAGGGATTCTTAACACTTCTAACCCGTTGTAATCGCTCGGGTCCCACGTTAATCGTTCATCCGTCCATTCTTGTTCCAGCCACACGTTAGTTGTTAATACTTGATTTACTTCATCCATATCGGCTATTTGGGTAAGGGTCAGACCAAACTTCACAGTTACAGTCTTACTCGCATTATATACGGGTCTGGCGGCTGTGTTGTAATCATAGAGGATAGTCTCAAGAAGACGTTGCTCATCAGGAACAACTGCCTTCCTCTTTCTTGGTATAAGAGAATAATCAGGTCCTGGGAAATAAAATTAGAGAAAAGAACTAAAAAAATTCAGTATTTTTTTTCTTTTTAGTAACTGTAACAATTATAAAGAAAACTAAGATAAGATCAAGTGAAAGTATGATAAAAGGGGAGAAGAGGGAGACTACGTAGGGGGTGGCAAGGTAGATTCGTGCTTTAACAAAAAAAAGAAAACAAAATACATGAAAGCTTTCTCTGTCTACCAAGACATTTATAACCTACCGTATCCTGTAGAGTGGCCATATTGGTTTCTACTTCTTCTTGAATCGTAATTGTCTTTATTCAATAGTTTTTTGTGCTTAAAGCTGCTGCTGCCTCCTTTTTTTTGTAAAATTTATTAACGATTTAAAAAGCAATTTACTATATCCATATCCGTTATTGTTATTTATATGACCTTATATTTTCAATACAAATGGACTGAGGTACATAGGTTTATTATATTGTACGTATACTGAATATGATATACCTATGTAATTTATTTGTTGAAGTAATTAATTCCATGTAATTAAACTGTTCGATTGTATCAAGATATGAAAATTGTATAATAATTAGTATGCATTACATAAGCAATGAGAAGAAATAGTCTTTTTTCGATCATTTCAACATAAAGAAGCTCTTAAGTAATGACTTAGCGTTCCAAACAGACTTGGAATGGATTTTATTGCCAATAGAAAGTAAAGAGAACATTTTTTTTCTCCTTCATTTTAGTAACAGTAACTTTCGAGCGGAAATTTTTCGTTTCATTTTACGGTTTGGCTTATATATTCAGGGGGAAAGTTTTTCTTCTCCTACGTCTCTTTTCTTTTAGCGCTAACCCTTTTCTTTAGAACTTTTCTAAACTTAGAAAGGTGAATGAAAGCATGATAACTTTGTTTTCTCATCTACCGACCTTTTAACCCCTCAGTCGATACATAATAGGCAAAAAAAATAGAGTAGAAAAAATAATTTATAGACGGATATTTTTTGTAAGAAAGTAAAGTCGTTGGTGAAAAAAGATAAAAGAAAACAACTTACTGCTTTTCGTAGATGTTACGACAGCTAGTGTGGTGAGGAGTAAAAGGAGTTTAACTAATCGCATCTCTTCACCCGGCTGCACTTGACCTGCGGGCAGTCAGTCACTATTTTTCCGTAAAACAAGCAATGAGTACCGAGTATAAAAATCAAAAAAAAATTGTGTAAGAAGAAGGCACAGCCCAGCCTCCAAAAAAAACACCTAAAAGGTTGTCGTACTTTAAGAGAGCGTTTCAACGTCAAAGGTTGGGTTGTTGACCCAGTACTCCGGCGTTCATTAAGCATCGCTTTTATATTGTAACTAAAAAAAAATACAAGAGGCGTCCCTTTCTGACTTTTTAGTTGGATATTTTATTCTTTTAACAGAGTAGAAGTCAGTTTGAAACAAATGAGGCTAATTTTCTGCGCGTCACTCCCCGATTTGGGGATTTGCCTGTGGAAAGGTTCACTGACAGGTAGGCGAAATGAGGCGAACAAAATAGATAATTTGTCTTATTGTTATCCGTCGCTACCCCTGTTCCGGAATGCATTTGTAGAATATTGATTTATAATTAGCAGAGACGCTCGTACTGCATACTTCTTTTCTATTAAGAGGTTTAGACAAGACTTAGTAGCGAATATATATTGTTTACAAAATTTTCTCACTGTATAGAATTCTATAGAAGTGTCTGTGTAATCAACAACGCCCTTCGAATCCCACTTGTGTATGTTTATACGAATTTAGTAAATCAGCGTAATAAACGCAAGAGGTTCCGACAAACACTTCTCACGTTCTACGAAACAAGATTGACTTGTTTATACTTTACGATATCTCAACTACTGTTTTATTTCATTAGTTAAGTCGCGAAACAGGCTCCTAACTCATTATTATTTCCTCTTTTCTCGCCTTTAACGGAATAGATAGCTATTTTTTTATGTTTCTTAGAGGATTTCCCTAATACATTTAATTGATGGAGAAAATATGGAAATTTCTATCGCATCAACTTATAAATGCAAATAAAAAAATAGTATGTTGCAATATTCCAGAGTTTTAGTCTGTTTACAAGACTACTACATGCTTTATACTCTTGAGGCGCTAAATTTACTTTAGAAGAGGTGTTTTTGAACTTTTCAATGTTATAGACCATTTCAAAATACCACAGATACGGCGGACAGTTGTTGGTCGAATTTAAGGACGATTTACAGTTCTGCTAACCAACTGCAAATGTTCGCCTGCTAACTGTGAGTACTGTAAAATTGAATTAGCTTGGGACAAACAATCATCCAGATGCTCCTTCCCTAAAAACTATTGGTTATTTTTAAATAATGATAAAGAATATTTTTCTTATCAATTATGTGTTATTTTAGGGTACATTCATTGTATATAGTCAACAAAGAAACTTCGTTTTCCAGATGATTTGTCTCACGATACATTATAATATTAATATAATGCTGGATAAGTTTACAATTGATTTATTCTTATTAATATTTACGTAACTGTATCGTATATTTAATGCAATTGTTTAGTAAGAATACCTAAAGCATTTACTCGTCTCTCGGCTACTTTTCGCCACAATCTTCAAAGTTGCTCGCGGAAACGCTCAGAGCGCCGAAGGAATGCATGCCTTTCACAGAGCTTACGAACATTAGCCTAATTCGAGGATTCTCGCTATAAATAAAGGCGAACATGTATTTAATCACAGGCCTATCATACGCCAAGAATATGCCTATAAAAATGCCCCCTTGGACATTATTTTTCTGACGGGATAAAGATTCTCCTGATACTAAAATTAATATATAATTCATAAATGAGCATGTTTCTCTATTATAATTAGTCTATTTCTCTTCCATGAGAGGAAGTTGACCATTATTCATTGGCTTTTACGAGAATTGGGTAAGTCGTCGAATAGGAATGACTAGAGATAAATTCCTTTATATAAACTCCATTCTTTTCCTATTTTCTTACTTTTATCAGCGCTTTATCTAGGAAAATGTTGCATTAAAATAGTCATAAATGTAATAAATAATACTAAATTGGATTTTTGAAAAAATTTTATAGAAAAATTTGATTCCTTATGAAATTATAGCCAAATATTATATTAAAAGTATTGAATAAGAGGAGGAAAAACGCTATTAAAAAGAGTAAACTTATTTGTTTAATATCTATTATAAGACCGAAAAATTACACTTTGATCTTAGGAAACATTAATCTTGTCTTTAATTTATACTTTATTTTTCCTTTAGCACCTTCCCACGAACTATACTAATAAAAACAGTAGAAAGGGAAATAATTTTTGGGATTTCTTATCTTGGGTTCTCGTCTCTTTTTTTTATTATCAGGCCTATAGGTTTTTAAAAATGTTAATTACTTACTTTGCTACATTTCCTGACTTAGATTATCCATATTTGAGGAAGGAGAAATTATTAAGATATAATTAAACATCTCGACAGCATTTTATAAACGACTCGTGTACTTCGTATGCCAAACGGGCCTATTTTTTCGGCTTTTACGCTCGATTGTAGGTGGCGTGTGTGTCGTATCTTCATTTTACTACGACATCTGCGGCAAATTTAACCGTGTGATTTCTATCACTAATTAGGAGAAAGAAACCTAGAGAGAAAAATTTTGATATTATCTTCAATAAACTAGAACATTATATTATCTATATCTAGGAAACTTGATACAATATACTAATAAGATCAAGACTAAATTGATTTTCCTAATGATTAGATATTTCCCCGCTATATAGAAAAAATAAATGTGTTATACACAATAAAACATACATATTAAAATATATATATATATATACATATATACTGTATATATTATTAATAATATAAAGAGAGATCAATTATATATTGGTAACAATACTGTAAAACATTTAAAATGTACGTACAGAGCATGAACAGAAATTGTAATATTATTCATCTTAATCTATTATTAAAGCTTCATTTGCTGAATACTTTAAAGTTGTCTTATATTTCTCATAATTTATATATGAATAGGAATGCTTTAACATGAAAATGAAAAATATGTAAAGTAAGGATAACAAATCCTCTTAAATTCATGTATTGAGATATATAAAGACGAGATCCCATGGAAGAGTAATCACAGCTATTGTCGTTTATTTAATAATGGTAAAAGAGTTCCCAAAAGATTTTGAATCTGGATGGACTACTGTACCACATAACATACTCTTACAAAAGAGACCTAAAAACGTAATACTGGTATAAACTTTCTATATAAGCCGATTATATTTCTGAGAATTTCGTGTTTTAGCTAACAGTCTTGACGGATTCTTTAAGGTTCAGTGAACTTTTTTCCACTTTACAATTTAGTAGAAAGGCTTGGATTGATAGAAGGATGAGACTTTATTATAACCATACGAAATATGACATTAATCTAAAAATTAAGGTATTAATGCTTGAACTAAACACAGACCAGACGTTACAATTATTGATGCTAGCATGGCGGTGAGTTAAAGGAGATTAAGGAATACTAAGGATAGTGTTCGATTGTAATTAAATTTATCTTTTTCTAGCAGAGATAGAGAAAAATAACACTTTCTGGGCATCAGAGTTACATTTTCGAGAAAGCAAAGGTTAATTTTAGAAAAGACGAATAAAGCTGATCTATTTTAAGGGTACCTGCCGATAGAACGTATGTTTACTGCTTGACATTTTGCAGGATACAACAAATTTGAGAAAAGGAGAAAATTGCGGTTGTCATAGGCCTTCATAATCGTGGAAAATGAGTTGGAAAGTTGAGTGAACTCTCGAGAAGCCTATTTTTTTTATTTACCTTGGTATTAGATGTTATATAGTACTTAAGATTTGAATACCTGATATTAAATTCCTTGACTCTAAACTACCAAACCAATTTGCCAAAAAATATTACTCAACTTAAAAAAATCTAAAGAGAAAAACAGAGAGAAGTTAAACGAAATTACAGAGAGAGAGAGAGAGAGAGAGAGAGGGCCAGATAAAGAGGGACAAATTAGGCAGCAAAAAAAAAGGGGTGTGGGTGTAGGGTGATTTGTTGTTGAGTTTTTAGGCATTAGAAGGTGCAGCCACCTTAATTCACATGAACCTTGGGTTGATAAGGAGCATACATGATTAATATAAATACTATTTCCTTATATAATCTCGTGTCATGTTACTCAAAGTAGAAACCTTAAGAAAAGTCCTTTCAAAGCAGTTTTTTACTTCAAAAGATTACCTAATAATATATGTATACAGCATAGATAATGTTTGCAGTCTGATAATTATTTTCAATCACAAAATATTAGCCTTACGGCTATTAATCAAAGATCTACCTGAAATGAATATAAAATAGCTTTAGCTTCTTTTAACAGCTTTCCGGGGCGTTTGTTATTTCTGATAGAATCAGCTATTAACCTAAAAAAACTAAGCTATTATGTCCTAGTAAAATCGAAGACGATTGTCATAATAACTTAAAGGCTTCTTTCTTGTTCAAATAGATTGATCATTTGTACGAATATCATAAAAGCAAAAACGTAGGCGGAATTGAAGATTCAAGGTTTTATATAGCATAAATAATTGAAGTACTATTACGAATAAAGCCTATTAAGTCATTTAAGGCACAAACCAGGAAGTATGCAAAAAGACTATTCTAGAATTTCCATTAAAACTATAGAGGTAATCACTAAAATAATTTGCAAATAGGGGAAAACTTACCTGTAAAGTAACAATACAGAATAATGTGAGGTATTACTTATCTTATAAGGTATTACATGAATTTTATTAAATTATCGAACAATAAAACTCTTTTATCTAGCAAAAGAAAAGCAGAATGTCGTTTTCAATCTAGAAAACGGAAAAGAAAACTAGTAATTGGCAAAAATATTCCTCATTAAGCATTAATTATAGACAAGGTATAAGATAATTATATTTATAAAGTCAATTAACATGATAAACGTGAGAAATGTTAACTTTTTATATCATAAGATAAGAACGATTCAATTTTCCTATACGACTGTTATAATACTATGACTTTAACAAGAAGGGATAAATTGATTTAGTCGACATGCCATTTTCTTTCAAGTTTCTTCCATTTGATGGAGAAGCACAGAAAAAAAAACAGAATAGCGACAACAGAATGGGGATTTATTTTAACTTCTCACCTTTAATTTATTCTTGACGGGGGTTTGTCACAGATCGGAAATTGGTCAGATACCATCAACAGTTCAGACGTTGATTATTCAGTGTAGATCAACTTTACCACTTAGAGAAGATGAGTGTTTTATGATTAAATACTTAATTATTTCATGCCAATTACAAGGTAGCTAAGTTTCACAATGAAATTAGTTATTTTTCATTCCCTAGAAACGAAATAAATTGGCTAATCCAATTCCGCTATAAGAAGAGTAAAAGCTAAAGAATATTTTTCTCTTTTGGGAAAACCTGTCGAGGTGGAAGAAGAATGGCGAAAAATGCTACCGAATCACCTTTGTGTCTATCAAAGAATCGGCCTTTAGACAAGTTCATATATATCTATGGTATATCCGTAGTAGCCTTTTTTGGTATAATAGGGAATACTTTAACCTACATCATCCTAACGAAGCAGAAAACGACTAAAGGGAAAACCTCCCTAACAATTTACCTCATGAAAGTTTTATCCCTTACCGATTCATCATTCCTCGTAATTGCGGCTTGGTCATGGATTATGCCTACGATCGCAATCGACTATAGAAAAACCTCTTTATGGAAATTTTACCTGCTTAAAGTTGTTTTCCAGCCAATGGGTTCTATAGCTGTTATGATTACGAATTATACTTTAGTGGCTCTATCTGTCCATAGATTTCTAGTAGTTTGTTATCCAATGAAAAAGGGTCTATGGCAATCTAAGATGAATATCAATTTTGTTCTACTTGGTATTATTATTTTCTCAATTGGTTTTAATGCTCCTCGATTTTTCGAAGAGAGAATTGATTATTCAAGAAAAGTATTTATTACTTGCTTCAACAAAAGCGTTCATATGACAACAGCGACCGGAATTCAGAACACATATTACAACTGGATATACATGTTTTTCTTCAGAGCTGCTTTCAGACTAGTTATACCCTTTATACTTATCTTTTACTCGAATTACAAGCTCCTTAAAACAGCTAAAAATCTGGGTAAAGTAGCCCACCAGTCGACAATTGACGGTCCTATAGCTGATTATAAAAGAAAAAGGGAATACTCTTTGAGTGTGATGATGGCAAGCCTTTGCGCGTCCTTTTTACTCTTTCAAATACCAAACGCAGCCGCATCCGTTTTACAAATACCGTCTTTTCTATTACCAAACAGGAATTATTCGAGAATCTATGCGTTTTTAGGCCCTATAGGCAATTTTCTACTCACAGTAAATTCTGCTGTAAATTTTATTATTTACTATGCTTCGCATAGTCAATTTAGATATTCGGCTAAAGAAATACTCTGTAAAAGAATTATTAGAAGAAAACGTCGTGCCAAGCAATCTGTAATAATCTATACACTAGTTGATTCTCTGCACGACTAAGACTTTGGTTGTCAAGTAAAAGATTGTTTTTATACCAAAAATTAAACAAGAACCATTTAAAAATATCTTTCTTATTTGTACTTTACAATTGTTAAGTAAAACTTAGTTTTTTCAACATTTGCATATAATTTATTTAAATCAAAATTGTTTAAGTAATTAATTTAATCATTATGCAATTAGGTATTTTAGTATTTTTCTGTCTTTTATACCGTTTGACGAGACTTATGTGTATACTTTGTCATTTTAATTAAAATAGGCATGAGTCCGTGCATGTTAGATGGTATTTGTTTCCGGTTAATTATTGAGTTCGAATAAGTCTTATATTGATGCTGGGAAAAGAGAAATTTGTCGTTATCATGCTCTCATTTATCGCAATCTTTACTTTTTACTGAATTATTGAATAGAAATCATTATTTCCTTGGCATTAGAAACATAAGAAAGAAAAAATTCTTAAGTGTTATTCTTGGAAACATATGCATTCGTAAAGTACTATTAATCAAGTTCTACTTTAAAAGACTTTTGCTAAATTTCCGTATATAATGAATTGATGTTAGAATAAATATGTATAATACCTATAATTACGTAATTTGATACCGTATTTATATTGTACATATTGTATGCATAAAATTTTGCTATAAACATGTATGATATACATGATGAAACCTTATTTTTATATGTATAGCAGATATTGGTTAATATCCAAGTTCCTTCCTGTTTCCTCTTCTTGTGTTTATTTTTAACATTTTATGAAATTGTTAGAGACGCAATAATTTTCTCATCTTAAGTGAATGTCAATTTCAGTGTATATTACTATTATAAAAAATATTAAAATGGAAAAAAATTTGGGCCAATCTAAGCCTAGCATTAGTTAAAGTAGTAATTTATTAAGGGTAATAGCATGTTTACATTTTTGCATTTCGTCTACAGAGAGAGAAACTTTTCTCCCCATATAATTTTCCACCAAAGCAAAATACAATCAAAAGGGTAATTGGTAACCTAATATGGTTTGAATTAACCACTAAACACGGTGATATAAAAAAATAAATGACAGTAAATACTATTTCCTTTCTATTGAACTGTAAATATTTTTTCTTTAAGAATTAAATGTGACAATGTTAAAATCTTGTCAGTGGTGGCAACAGATTCTTTTATTCTATAAATATCAACACATGCCACAGTAATAAATGCCTTGCGGTATGTCACAAAAACAGCTGACATAATTGAGAAAAATTAGGAGATTGCTCCGAGATATTTATAATTGATTAATTGATATTAAATTAATTACAAATATTTAGAAAGAAACGAAAGTAAATTATTTAAAACTTGAGTATAACCTTTCTTTACACTATACAAGTTAGACAATACTACAATTGATAAAAGTTCAGTTCTTTTTTGTATTCTAAATAATTGTTTACAAATAGCTTGTTTACTCTCTTGTTTCTCTCTCTCCCTCCCTCTATCTCTATATCTCTCTCTCTCCTGTATTTGCTTTACCTACTTCTTGTTATCTGCTACTCTTTATCTTTTCTGCTATACAGAAAAATGGGCGATGGCAATCATAAAAGAAAGTTACTTCTAATAACGAATTAGCAATATTTACTGAGCTTAGTCATCTTCTGGTCATAAAGTATTATTAGTCACTGTTCATTAAACTTATCAGTAAATAAACATAACTGAAATCAATCACAGAAACACTTTTAAAGAAATAAATAGAAAGAAAATACGAGTGATGAAGTACCTTAGATATTTTACTAGATAATTGAATCCTAGTTTCTGATTAAACTAGATTCTATTGTTTAATAATCGAATAGGTAAGGAATGTTTCTAAATGAAATCTATACAAAAATAAATAAATATAAAATTACTTTTTTATGTTAATTGTAATGAAAAGTACCATTCATTCGAAAAATAATTAATAGTAATTAAAAGGCAAGCTTATTTCATTTGGGTTATACAGTTTATATGAAAATTAGTTCGGTGAATATCAATCTAAGAATTGTCTCTCAAGTTTGTTGGCAAATTAGTCGTCAGATTGTTACTAAAATTGACACGAGATTGCTGTTTGAAGTTCGGTTATCCTTAGACAACCGAAAGATGGCGATGACGTCACCAATTGCAAAATTGTTTCTTTTACAAAAAACAAGTTTTCATCGAATAAGCTATTTTCATGTTGGGGAAGAGATATGATATATTTAAGCGATTATTAATGGCTGGTAGGCAAAACAGGATCAATACTGGTCCAAAAACGGTGTCGAAACGGACTAGGACCAATTTACAGAAACAGTGAGATAAGGAGGTTTAACTTACAAAATATACGCTTAATCTACACCCTCCTTCAAGAGGGTATACTATTAGGTATTTCAGATAAAATACTTTGAAAGCAGAACCTATATCACCTACTCCAAATAGTGAGCTGAGTAGAAACAGTATATACTGTATATATATATATAATATACAGCTACATTTTCTTATATAAACTTAAAATATATCTATAAATACTAATAATTATCTATATTCCTAAATTAGTATAAATGTTGGATGAAAGCTTCAAAAAAAGCAAATTTAAGTATTAAAAATGGAAAGTTAAGGCGGTAAAAAATGAAATATTAAATCTATTATTAATAATATTAAAAAGTGGCTTTATATTGAATGAACGTCTTGTTTCTTGGAATTATTAATAAAATTTAAATTTTTCGTTTTAAATATCATTCTTATTTCAAATATAGATTAATAAACCTTGTGGAATATGTACTGTTGTAATCTATAGTACTGCTTACGAGTAATGCGAAACATACATACAATGTATTTACTGTAAATATTTATTTATTTATAAAATTAGAGGATAGGAAAGAAAAATAGTTTTCTTCAGCTGTCAATTAACCCAGGGATAGGTAGTAAAACTGAGAGGACATTACCGTGTGATGGATGACTTTCTTAACTGTACCGATAGATGGCGTTGTAACAATAAAATTTCTAAGCCTTCGGAAGTTATTGATTAATATTAGGCCATTTTATATTAGCTATCTATTTTAATCATAGATTAAATTCACGCAATAAGTGTAATTTAGAAAATAGTTGCTTAGGCGTTTTTGTCATATATAATTACTTTAAACGCTTATAAATGATCCATTGAACCATAAATTTTTGGAATATACTTGTAGATTATCTATAAAAAAAAGATGATAAACGGCAATAACATGTTTACAGTCGATGAGACTCTTAATATACTAAAAAATATATTGTATATAGAAGAAAGCGATATAGAAGAATATAGAAAAGGAAAAAATCAATTGGAATTTTTAAATAAGATAATAAGATCATTTCAAGAGAATATACCCTTTCATAACATATTCGCTTTGGCATCAACAAGAAAGGCGAGGTTTGTATTCTGTATTAAATATCTTTTTTTTTTGTTTTTTAAAAGAAAAACTGTATATTATATACTATATATTTTTTATTTTTAACAAACTAGGCCTTCTTTAGATGACATTAAAACGAGAATACAAAATGGTTCGGGTGGCTTGTGCTTTGTTAACAACGTTGGAATATATTTTCTATTAGATTCTTTAAATTTTAATGTAAGTCTAGCATTGTCCAGTGTGTCCTCTCCGGATAATCATTTAGTTGTTTTGGTGAACATGGGAAATGAAAATAAGAGTTTAGAAAGTTCAGATAAAGTTAATTTGTAAGCTACTTTCTTTTCCATTTTTAATCAGAAATGAATAAAGTGACGATTCCTAAAATAACTGTTTCAGACTTTTAGAAAATTTCTACTTAGTAGAATGTGGATGTGGCTATCCTTCTTTCACAGCTGTACCGTTGAAAGGCCTAATTGAAGAAGGCTCTGAGAGTGAAATTTACAAGGAATCATTCTTGACGTACAAATTCGAAAGAGACGGCGACCTAATTTTAAGAATGCATGGAAGAGGGTTCATAGAACCGAAAACTCATCAAGCCTCAAAAGGCACAGATTTCAAACGGTTCTATGATTTTCGTACAACGGCAATTAAGAGTATTGATGAATTACTTCCATATTTTGATAAAGTGTTTAACGACGAAAATGAGGCTTCTTTCATATGTAATATAAGAGCAATAAGATTCCCATCAGGCAAAGCTATTGGTATGAGGGATAATTTCCTTTTAGAAGAAGAGAATAACGTGCTAAGAACTAGAGAATTGAAAGACAATAATGATATAGTTAGACACTTACAAATAATTTTACCAAAAATTCCACTGTCTGAATGCATTCAAGCTGTCCAAAGGCTTTATAATAATTAGATTAACTACATAGATATAAATAAAAAAAAGACTCTAATGACTAAGTATTTTCCATTAAGCACTTGTTAATTCTTGTAAATAAGTTCCTTTATAAGTGTTATGATATGTTTGCCTTTCTCATAAAAGAAACTGTTTTGTATATCATCCTCTTTCAATAAATAACCAACATTTGTGAGTTTTAGAGATTATGGGTAAAGTTCACATGAGTATAGGTATCCTTCTTATCTGCTACATGTGTTCTACGTAGAGAAAAAAACAACTTGCAAACATTTTCTTATTCTTTTTCTTCTTCTTTTTATTGATAAAATATTTTCCCTCGTTTTACTTTCTTTTTTTAAACGTAAATTAAGTTTAATAGTTTCTTTTCACCTCCAAAAGGCAACTTTGAGTTATAACTTCCAACTTTGGCTTTCTCAGCAATTACAGTTTATAAGAAGGCTTTAGATCTTACAGTAATGCAGTTAGTCGTAACGAAACGACCTAGCACTCAAGTTGTTTGCCATAAGGATGTATTCTAGACATGGAAGAGTCTTACATAACAATGGCTAATGACGAAAATTCATTTTTCTACGATAATTGAATATTTATTAAAGTATTCAAGTTAATTTATCTGATAAAAATTATATAAAATCATGTTTTTTATGCTAAAAGACCTTGAAAAAGTTAGTATTGTTCGCCTAGAAGATAACAAGGGGTATTTTCAAGTGTAAATGAGAAGGGTAAGACATTTACGATCGTCAATCATCTTATAATTTAATGAATGAAAACGCTTATTATCATTATCTTTTAAAACGCCAACCTATCACTAAAGAATGCTACACAAATGGCTTTATTAATATCTATCAATCTATATATATGATATACGTATATAGAGAAACAAAGAACTACTTAGACGACATACTGAAAGAGTAGCACTTTTATTTGTTTGGTTGTTCCCTATACTTCCTATTGGTTAAAATTAAGCGTAAAAGAGTCAATTTTTTATGCATATTTACAAAAAGAATACAGTAATTTAGGAGGCTTATTTCTTTATTTTAAGCCTCTATTTGACAATTCATTTGTTAAATTGGAGTGTACAACTGGGACTTTGTTTTTCCCAGAAACTGACAAAGTGTTGAATATCAATTAATTTGTATTTTATTTCTTTCACATTCTATGCTTTTTTTTATGTTTTGTTTAATTATAAAGCTTCCTATTGAGTTAAACAACAAAAGATGTAAAAAATGGAGTTATCTTTTACTAATTTACGACAAAAAGATATAGAGAAATTGTTAAATTTTAAACGAAAAAATGGATTTTGATCAGTAAATAATTACTCTTTTTCGTTTTATAGAGGACGAACAACGAGGAGAGAGAGAGAGAGAGAGAGATAAAGTGATAGAAATGATAGAGAGCTAGGTAATTAACGGAAATTGTCCTTTATCTTTGAAATGCGAGACGTAGGGAAAATGATTAGAATACTTTAAATTTGTTTAGGAAATTAATCAAAAAATCGATAATTTTTTAATTATCTTGCATTGATTAGTTATAAGGTAAATGATATTAAGGAAGTAGTTTAAAAATCACATTAATTACGTGATAAAAAATATTCTCCATAGTCTATAGACCCTAATAGGCAAAACATTATAATATTTGCCGTGTAAACCTAGACGTCGAATGGTACAGCAACTATCCTTGTTGGTAAAAATTGTATATTATATCCTGATGACAATAGCTATTTTCTTTGATAGTATACAGTATAAGGGTAAAATAAGCTTTCTAGCATTTTTAAGACGTTTGAGCCTTTTTAATATGTCTTTTTCAATTCTTGAGGTCAGATTGAAGAACTTTAAGAAAGGCCAAGTAAGATTAAATCAAGATGAAGAGGAAAATTTTACTCTTGTTCATATAAGAGCTTTGAAATGAAGGAATTATAAGAATATAATTCTAGAGTTTTCCATTTTTCTCTAATAAAACATTCAAAGAGTACTTTCAAGTCTTTAAATAATCTTACTTAACAAGACTCGATAGTAAGTAATATAAAAGCACTAAGTCAAGTGTGAATCGATAATAAGATCGGGCAGACGTCTACCAGAGCAGATAACATTGCCGTATAAATAGATTGAATTCGAGGTAAAGCTTTTTATAGATACTTTTTTTAAAATGCCATCATTAAATGGATTTACTCTCACATCCTAGCGACACTGTTTAAACAAGACAAACTTTACATAGTCTTCATTCCAATACTTTCCAACAGATGGCGTGAATGAATTGAGAGGAATGTCTTAGAAGGAGGAAGTAATACTTTAATTACATAGTTATACACTTTGAATATACAGTAGCATGTGCGATAATATTTACCAGCAAATAAACAACTGAATAAGGGATAAACACATACATACAGCATATATCTTTTCAAATATATTACAACAGTATAGATGAATTTATAAATATTCGTACAACAGCACAAAGATGTAAGAAAAATTATAACAACTAATGGATGATTAGATTAAAGAGATAGATAAAAGAAAGTGTGTGACACAATTTTTACTGCAATATTTTTGTTGGAAGGATAAAAATCGATTCACATCAATTTATCACTTCGTGACATATTCTAAGTGCCCTAACTAAGATGATAAAATATAAGCTTAGAAGAAATTTTCGATCTCAATGTCAGCTAGATTTATTAAACTCGACTTCTTTTCAATGAACGAACTAAACGAAAGAATAAAAATCACTTTTCTTTTTTTTTTATTTAAAAAAACAAGTTTCTCCTAAAAATAGAGTTTTCAATTAAAGTTCTAAAATTAATTAAATAACCAAAACAACTCTAATTTCAAAGTAATTTATAGTTCATTTCTTAGTACCACTTGGAATATTTTTATATATAGATAAAATACATTATAAAAGGAAGAGAGAAAGATAGAGAGGAGGAGCAGGGGCAGGAGCAGAAGGAGGTAGAGCAATCAGAGTCATTCATAAGAGTATTAGTACAAAACTTCTTCATCAACTAAGTTTCTTTTCAATTCTGCTGTGCTTACACATTTCGCTATTTTTACCTTCCTTTTTACTAGCAATAAGAAAAAGCTGACCTATAATTACTTTAACAATATTCAACTTCATAATTATACGTTACATATGTTTTTTTAAATAAGATATATCCAATTTCATTTTGTTTACTATTGACAATTTTTAACATTGAATGAGAACAATCTATTGTATTTTACTGTATAATTCTTATTAAATAACTAAAAGTTAGAGGATTAGATAGAAATATATTAGGGTTAACTGCGTAATGCGAACCGGTAGAAAAGTTTATCTTATCTGATGTAAATCGACTGCCTAAGATTGATATACCGTACTTGAGTTAATTTGTTTGTCGAAATGGTTTACAAAGATCTTTTATTACGTAAGGACTAAAAAGATAGGGTTAATAACCAAAGTATATGAAAGGATGACAGAATGTTTTTGTACATGTCTTTTTATATTTTCATTTTTGTAATATTGGTTTTTTATATCTGTTTATGCGGTAATTAGTGTTATTATTTAGCAAATGGTCTATAATTTACATAAAATCAATAGGAATGGGATCCTTTTTCAATTTCTTTCCCAAGTGATTTGAGATAATATTTGGAAACGTAACAATAAGTTATTATTTGTACAACCGTCTATGTACTTTTTTCTAAGGGCTTTTTAAGTAAAGATATGATTTAAGCTTGATGAAAAATCCTCCAGATTTATTATGTTTTCCTTAAATTATTCCAGTGCATCTTCAAGATAGGAAAGGAGATACCGTTGCTGTTGAAGAAGATTCATAGATATCTGGTCATTTGTTTTCAGGTTACATTCCATGGAATTTCTCATCGGTCCAATGAAATCTCTAGCTAACCAGATGTTGTGTACTATTGTATGGCTAATAATTTCACGCGTTAAAGAACGTCTATACCTGTATTTTAATTTATAAATATATGGTGAATGTTACTAAAATTATCATATAACTTTCAAATTATATATCATTAATTAACTTAATAATATACAGAAAGAATCATAAAATGTCAATACTCCAATCATTATCTCAACTAATACTAGCGCCATCTGTTGTTTATTTTGTGAATAGCAGGAACTTAACGAGCAAATCGACCAATCTATAGTTTAAACAAATATAAAAGGATCACAAATACATATCATTTTAACAATTATCATCAATAGAGCACAACAATAGTAAATTCATCGCTTTGTTCTCTTTGAATTATGATATTTAAAGCAAAGTTAAATTTATCTCTAGAGAACTTAGGCTATTTTCAGAAGTGTATGCAGCAATTAAAGTTATAAAAAATTTAAGTTATTTATAAAAGCTGTATAGAATTGTCACTTTCATCCTCAATTTTAATCCAAAAGCCAAATTAAGTTAACATAAATCTTCAATTTAATGAGAGTAAACCGTAAGACAGACTTGAAAGTCCAATTTCTTTTTGACGAATTGAAAACAACATTAAGATTTTAACGTTAAAAGAGTAGAATACAAAATCAAATTCTACAAAGAAGGACATTGATATATGGAATTAATAGAGTCTAGAAAATACAGAAAAGACATAAATGTAATTTATAACTTTTAATTTCATTTATCATGTTTTAGGAATTATATCATTGATCTAAGCAAGGCAAATATATATGTAAATTACTTAGAAATCTAGCAAAATCATTTCAGCCTATTAACTTTACCTAGGTTATCTAATTTATGGATATAAATTTTTAGATTTAGGAATTCTATATGTCAAACTTTCCTTACAAGTTAAAGAAATTCCCATCTGGTAGAAATCTCGAATAGATGCTTCTAGTTTTCATTTCGTTCCATTTATTTTAAGGTGACATTCTGATTGATATACGTAATAGGTTACAGCTAAACAACTAACGGAATTGATACAAATATTTAAACATTGTTCCTTATTTTGATAGCCGTAGATATCAGTCATCGTGGAATTATCATTAATTTTATTGAAGAATTTACTAATGGTAATCGTATAATTGACTATAATAAGAAAAACAAAAGTATTAGCAATAATTTAATAAATAATTGACAAATAAGGGAAATAATTACATTGAAAGCTATCACAACGATTTATAAACTGTATGACAGATAATACAACGTTAACAATCTGTATCGTTATCTAGTATGCCAAGGTTTTAAGTATTTTAACAAATTTGTTACAAAACATTCTTCCAACAAC